TTGTCATGACTCTCACCACTGCATGTCCCAATTGTCCAATGTAGCATCCAATTAGTATGCTCCAATTACTAGTCAAGCCTATCATCCAAAACACTCAGCAGTAGAGGCCTATATTTCCCCCATGCATCCATGCTCATCTCCATCTCTGTACCTCATTGAACACAGCCGTATCTATGAATATTCGAATGAGCACTTATCCTGAATGCACCCATGCTTTCTCCTCTTCCTCCCACTGCTCCCATCCACTCATTTACAAAGGATTGTGTCATTCTCTCTCCTTCCCCAGCTCCCCCTGGACTGAGCTAAAAATAACCAAGGCTGCTGTTGAAAGCAAAGGGAAAGGCAGCGAAAGGGGTGGGTGTCTGGCCAAGAGAGGCATGTATAAGCGTGGGAGCAGGAACAGTTCAATTGCTCCACACGATTTTCCTATTATGTAACTTTCAGCAAGTTGACATACCATATATTTAAATTAACTGGAGATACAGCAGTTTGTTATGTTATACATGTGTAACTATGTGGTTGTTATGGTAACACAACTGCAAAGTAAAAGAAAAACTCTTAATTGTGTAAATGAGCTTTAATCACCTTCAAATATCTTACTGCAGTTGGTAGAATGCTTATTTCTTCTTTCTCTCCATCTTCCTTTTGCATATCTCTTATCTGTTCTGTGGTTATGGTTCACATTATGGACAGATCTCCTAATCAACACTTCTGTTATTTAGCCAGCCAAGGATTTCTTCTGCAATTGCTATTCTATTGCTAATTATCGCGGAGTGAATGTTCTTGTCCATCAAAAAAAAAAAAAAAACTAGGGCCCCGTTGGGGCACTGGCGGGCCCGAGCCGTGTCGCGCCGCCCCCAGCGCGACCGCCTACCCCTCCTGATCGCGTCACACTCAAGGTCCAAAGATGGTGTGCGCACTTGTCTGTGGTCATTTACCATTATAATGAATGGGAGGCGCAGTTTCTACCAAAACGCTCGCTGCAGTGAAACTCCATGTCCTTTTTGAAAAAAGTCTGGACCATGAGTGAGGGCACAAACACAGCTAGTATATATCCAAATGGCAAGTTGCTCCTCCTTTCGGTTTTGCCGAGAGAGCGATGCGTTTGAGCCATTGAGCGATGGGCAGGAAAAACTTGACTTTTTCTCCTGCCATGGGGGGGCGCTCTTTTGGGGAGTAAAAATTCCTTCACAAATGTGTTGATGGCTGGACATTGCATCATCCTAGAAAACTTGGAGGCCAGTGAGGACAAAAATAAAAAGTTATAAGACTTTTAAAAAATGTGGATATTTGGGTCCTCTTTGGCGCCCCCTAGAACGTAAACTGTGGGGTGCAGCGTCATGATTTGTACAACTTTGAATGGCCATGGGGTGTAGATTGACCTGAGCAAATTTGAAGCCGATGGGACAAAAGATTTAGGAGGAGTTAGCCACATTCCAATGTGTGCGAATCGGCAAAAAATGCGAAATAGCCCTTTAACCGTACATTGAACAGATACGCTCGCATTGACTTTTTCGTAGATCTTATTGAGATACATGTGTGTGTCAAATTTTGTGTCATTTTGACAAAGCGTAAAGGCGTGACAGTCAACAATGTGTATTTTCGCCTTAGGAGACAAGAAAAAATGGACTTTTTTCTCTTGCCATGGGGGGCGCTCTTTTGGCGAGTAAAAATTCCTTCACAAATGTGTTGATGGCTGGACATTGCATCATCCTAGAGAACTTGGAGGCCAGTGAGGACAAAAATAAAAAGTTATAAGACTTTTAAGAATGTGGATTTTTGGGTTATCTTTGGCGCCCCCTAGAACGTAAACCGTGGGGTGCAGCGTCATGATTTGTACAACTTTTAATGGCCATGGGGTGTAGATTGGCCTGAGCAAATGTGGTGCCTTTGGAACGAAAGCCTTCGGAGGAGTTAGCAAAATTCCAATGTGTGCGGATCGGCAAAAAATGCGAAATAGCCCTTTAACCGTACATTTGACAGATACGCCCGCACTGACTTTTTTGTAGATCTTATTGAGATACATGTGTGTGTCAATTTTTGTGTCAATATGACAAAGCGTAAAGGCGTGACAGTCAATAGTGTGAATTTTCGCCTTAGGAGACAAGAAAAAATGGACTTTTTTCTCCTGCCATGGGGGGGCGCTCTTTTGGCGAGTAAAAATTCCTTCACAAATGTGTTGATGGCTGGACATTGCATCATCCTAGAGAACTTGGAGGCCAGTGAGGACAAAAATAAAAAGTTATAAGACTTTTAAGACTGTGGATTTTTGGGTTATCTTTGGCGCCCCCTAGAACGTAAACCGTGGGGTGCAGCGTCATGATTTGTACAACTTTTAATGGCCATGGGGTGTAGATTGGCCTGAGCAAATGTGGTGCCGGTGGAACGAAAGCCTTCGGAGGAGTTAGCGAAATTCCAATGTGTGCGGATCGGCAAAAAATGCGAAATAACCCTTTAACCGTACATTTGACAGATACGCCCGCACTGACTTTTTTGTAGATCTTATTGAGATACATATGTTTGTCAATTTTTGTGTCAATATGACAAAACGTACAGACGTGACAGTCAATAGTGTGAATTTCCACCTTAGGGGGCGCTATGGAGCCATTTTGCATTTTATTGTTTGGGCGACTTCAGAATATCGAATTTTTCACCAGGCCCGGTCGTCCTGCCAAATTTCATGAGTTTTCGCCAGTGGGAAGTGGGCCATTTTCCAGTTTAAAGCGGAGGAAAAAAAATAACTAGGGCCCCGGTGGGGCACTGTCGGGCCCGAGCCGCGTCGCGCCGCCCCCAGCGCGACCGCCTCCCCCTCCCGATCGCGTCACACTCAAGGTCCAAAGATGGTGTGCGCACTTGTCTGTGGTCATTTCCCATTATAATGAATGGGAGGCGCAGTTTCTACCAAAACGCTCGCTGCAGACAAACTACATGTCCTATTTGAAAAAAGTCTGGACCATGAGTGAGGGCACAAACACAGCTAGTATATATCCAAATGGCAAGTTGCTCCTCGTTTCGGTTTTGCAGAGAGAGCGATGCGTTTGAGCCATTGAGCGATGGGCAGGAAAAACTTGACTTTTTCTCCTGCCATGGGGGGGCGCTCTTTTGGGGAGAAAAAATTCCTTCACAAATGTGTTGATGGCTGGACATTGCATCATCCTAGAAAACTTGGAGGCCAGTGAGGACAAAAATAAAAAGTTATAAGACTTTTAAAAATGTGGATATTTGGGTCCTCTTTGGCGCCCCCTAGAACGTAAACTGTGGGGTGCAGCGTCATGATTTGTACAACTTTGAATGGCCATGGGGTGTAGATTGACCTGAGCAAATTTGAAGCCGATGGGACAAAAGATTTAGGAGGAGTTAGCGAAATTCCAATGTGTGCGGATCGGCAAAAAATGCGAAATAACCCTTTAACCGTACATTTGACAGATACGCCCGCACTGACTTTTTTGTAGATCTTATTGAGATACATGTGTGTGTCAATTTTTGTGTCAATATGACAAAGCGTAAAGGCGTGACAGTCAATAGTGTGAATTTTCGCCTTAGGAGACAAGAAAAAATGGACTTTTTTCTCCTGCCATGGGGGGGCGCTCTTTTGGGGAGTAAAAATTCCTTCACAAATGTGTTGATGGCTGGACATTGCATCATCCTAGAAAACTTGGAGGCCAGTGAGGACAAAAATAAAAAGTTATACGACTTTTAAGAATGTGGATTTCTGGGTTATCTTTGGCGCCCCCTAGAACGTAAACCGTGGGATGCAGCGTCATGATTTGTACAACTTTTAATGGCCATGGGGTGTAGATTGGCCTGAGCAAATTTGGTGCCGGTGGAACGAAAGCCTTCGGAGGAGTTAGCGAAATTCCAATGTGTGCGGATCGGCAAAAAATGCGAAATAGCCCTTTAACCGTACATTTGACAGATACGCCCGCACTGACTTTTTTGTAGATCTTATTGAGATACACGTGTGTGTCAAATTTTGTGTCATTTTGACAAAGCGTACAGGCGTGACACTCAATCATGTGAATTTTTCACCTTAGGGGGCGCTATGGAGCCATTTTGCATTTGATTTTTTGGGCGACTTCAGAATATCGAATTTTTCACCAGGCCCGGTCGTCCTGCCAAATTTCATGACTTTTCACCAGTGGGAAGTGGGCCATTTTCCAGTTCAAAGGGGCAGAAAAATAATAATAAGAAGAAGAAGAAAGAAGAATCCATCAGGAATAATAGGGCTCTCGCAGCTGCTTAGCAGCTACGCTCGGGCCCTAACTAGGACCCCGTTGGGGCACTGGCGGGCCCGAGCCGTGTCGCGTCCCCCCCCCAAACGTGCTGCCTCCCCGTCCCATTTGTGTCCTCTGGCCATCGCCCTCTCTGGTAACGCCCATCACTGCAAAGACCCTTTTCCTTCATCGGCGTTTGCTGTTCTTCTTGCCAGTGCGTGTTGCTTTCACTTACACTTGCCACAGCCAGCCTCGTGAGTGCCTAGCCTATTGGATATCACTGTCACCTACACAGGACAGTCATTACCTTTCTATTAATACTTTGTGTTTTAATTTCACATTAATTTCCATATTGTATAAACGACTGGAAAAAACTTGAGCCCCTGCCCCTGTATAATCATGTGCATGTCTCTGTTCTAGCTCCAAGGTGAATCTTCACAGCTCATGTTCTCCTCAGAAGCACTCACCTCACTCCCCTCAGGTTACTGTACACATGCACCAACTACCTGCTTCAGGTTTGGATGGAGCTTCATGGTTGTCTTTTGGAGAAATGACCAGTCAAGTTGTGTTTGAAATTTGATTTTTTTCAGGGGCAAAAGGAGCCTCTGCATTCTTGTCAAATATGTAAATAGCATGTTTTTGCAGGTGCTAAAAACCAGACTCTGAGTGTGTGTGTGTGTGTGTGTGTGTGTGTGTGTGTGTGTGTGTGTGCGTGTGTGTGTGTCTGTGTGTGCGTTCAAGTCACATGACATATTTAACCGGATGTAGCTGCAAGACGGTTGACTCGTTGACTCTCCGTTTCAACTTATCTCAAAAGTGAGGACCTCAACCTATATACCAGTTTTTAAATTGTGTTGAAAGGCCAAATAAAACCAGAGTTATGATAAATTATGTCCGCGATACTTTTTTTTCTGCTTATTTTGATCACGTTCGGCGCTCGATCGCGCTGTATGAGACAGGAAAACATAGCATGCAGACATTAGCGACAGGTCTTACAGGCGGAAAAGGCTTGCCAAAAGAAAAAAAAAACACACCACAACATCTCTCCTATTGGTGGAAAACTTCACCACAACAACCAATCCAAAATTATATGGTGACTGATTGACAAGGGGCGGGCGCTTACGTTCTTCCTGCAACATGAGAAGCGAGGGAGGGACTCTCAGCAGGGATGCAGTCTGGGACACGTAGTTGCAAACCTAGCGACTTTGTTGTTAGATTCAATGACTTTTCAGACCCCCTAACGACTTTTTTTTAGAAAGCAAGGGACTTTTATCGACTTCTTCTGGAGTTTAGAGACTCTGACATGAAGCAGGCTTTCCTTACTGAGGAGTTAGCAACGCTGCTAAGGGTGCAGAGCCACACATGCGCTCAGAGCTCTGCATGGGAGACTGAAGCTGACAGAGCTGCAGCAGTTAGCAGGTTTCACCCTCAGAGACCACCAGGGGTTCATGTTGAGGCATTTTAATTTTTTTTTTTTTTTGTGCCATAGACACTGTCAGCACAATCTGCAGTTACACTAACAAAAATGCTGCAAAAAACAAAGAATTATGGAAAAATTACACATGGACTGACATAGAGGAGGATCTACACAAGTTTTTTACATCATGTTTTACATCATGCATCATTTACATCATGTTTTTTTGTAGTGGCATAAATAAAAAGTGACATTTGTGAGACTATACAGTGTTTTGTAAATAATTTTACAAAGAACGCCTGGGCCATTGCCTGCATTTTGATGTAAATAGAGGTAAATCACTATGTTCTTTGTTAAAAATTTGCATATGTTTTGAAGTTTACAATTTTTATTTGAAGTTTAAGTTTTAAAAACAGTTCATCACACATATTTGTGGTTTTCACAGTAAAAATGTTACTTTTTTCCACTCGGATTTTATGTTTTGTGTGTGAATTTGGGTCCATTGTGTAAATTCAGTATGTCAACATGATAAAATAACTGTAAATTCGCACAGGTGAGGTTGTGCTGAAAAAAATGATACCAGGCAAGGCACGTGATTGTCAAATCTTGTGTCAATATGACAAAGCGTATAGGCGTGAATCTCAACAATATGTATTTTCACCTTAGGGGACAAGAAAAAATGGACTTTTTTCTCCTGCCATGGGGGGGCGCTCTTTTGGGGAGTAAAAATTCCTTCACAAATGTGTTGATGGCTGGACATTGCATCATCCTAGAAAACTTGGAGGCCAGTGAGGACAAAAATAAAAAGTTATAAGACTTTTAAATATGTGGATTTTAGGGTTATTTTTGGCGCCCCCTAGAACCTAAACCGTGGGGTGCAGCGTCATGATTTGAATAACTTTTAATGGCCATGGGGTGTAGATTGGCCTGAGCAAATGTGGTGCCGGTGGAACGAAAGCCTTCGGAGGAGTTAGCGAAATTCCAATGTGTGCAGATCTGCAAAAAATGCAAAATAACCCATTAACCGTACATTTGACAGATACGCCCACACTGACTTTTTTGTAGATCTTATTGAGATACATGTGTGTGTCAATTTTTGTGTCATTTTGCCAAAGCGTAAAGGCGTGACACTCAACAATGTGTATTTTCACCTTAGGGGACAAGAAAAAATGGACTTTTTTCTCCTGCCATGGGGGGGCGCTCTTTTGGGGAGTAAAAATTCCTTCACAAATGTGTTGATGGCTGGACATTGCATCATCCTAGAAAACTTGGAGGCCAGTGAGGACAAAAATAAAAAGTTATAAGACTTTTAAATATGTGGATTTTAGGGTTATTTTTGGCGCCCCCTAGAACCTAAACCGTGGGGTGCAGCGTCATGATTTGAATAACTTTTAATGGCCATGGGGTGTAGATTGGCCTGAGCAAATGTGGTGCCGGTGGAACGAAAGCCTTCGGAGGAGTTAGCGAAATTCCAATGTGTGCAGATCTGCAAAAAATGCAAAATAACCCATTAACCGTACATTTGACAGATACGCCCACACTGACTTTTTTGTAGATCTTATTGAGATACATGTGTGTGTCAATTTTTGTGTCAATATGACAAAGCGTACAGCCGTCATGTGAATTTTCACCTTAGGGGGCGCTATGGAGCCATTTTGCATTTTATTGTTTGGGCGACTTCGGAATATCAAATTTTTCACCAGGCCCGGTCGTCCTGCCAAATTTCATGAGTTTTCGCCAGTGGGAAGTGGGCCATTTTCCAGTTCAAAGGGGAGGAAAAAGAAAAAAGAAACAAAGAAAAACCACTTGGGGAATAATAGGGCTCTCGCAGCTGCTTAGCAGCTACGCTCGGGCCCTAACTAGGGCCCCGTTGGGGCACTGGCGGGCCCGAGCCGTGTCGCGCCGCCCCCAGCGCGACCGCCTACCCCTCCCGATCGCGTCACACTCAAGGTCCAAAGATGGTGTGCGCACTTGTCTGTGGTCATTTACCATTATAATGAATGGGAGGCGCAGTTTCTACCAAAACGCTCGCTGCAGACAAACTCCATGTCCTATTTGAAAAAAGTCTGGAACATGAGTGAGGGCACAAACACAGCTAAGATATATCCAAATGGCAAGTTGCTCCTCCTTTCGGTTTTGCCGAGAGAGCGATGCGTTTAAGCCATTAAGCGATGGGCAGGAACAACTTGACCTTTTCTCCGGCCATGGGGGGCGCTCTTTTGGAGAGTAAAAATTCCTTCACAACTGTGTTGATGGCTGAACATTGCATTATCCTAGAAAACTTGGAGGCCAGTGAGGACAAAAATAAAAAGTTATAAGACTTTTGAAAATGTGGATTTTTGGGTTATCTTTGGCGCCCCCTAGAACGTAAACCGTGGGGTGCAGCGTCATGATTTTTACAACTTTGAATGGCCATGGGGTTTAGATTGGCCTGAGCAAATTTGGTGCCGATGGGACGAAAGCTTTAGGAGGAGTTAGCCACATTCCAATGTGTGCGAATTGGCAAAAAATGCGAAATAGCCCTTTAACCGTACATTTGACAGATACGCCCGCATTGACTTTTTCGTAGATCTTATTGAGATACACTTGATTGTCAAATTTTGTGTCAATATGACAAAGCGTATAGGTGTGACACTCAACAATGTGTATTTTTACCTTGGGGGTAAAGAAAAAATGGACTTTTTTCTCCTGCCATGGGGGGGCGCCCTTTTAGGGAGTAAAAATTCCTTCACACATGTGCTGATGGCTGGACATTGCATCATCCTAGAAAACTTGGAGGCCAGTGAGGACAAAAATAAAGTTATAAGACTTTTAAAAATGTGGATATTTGGGTCCTCTTTGGCGCCCCCTAGAACGTAAACCGTGGGGTGCAGCGTCATGATTTTTACAAATTTGAATGGCCATGGGGTTTAGATTTGCCTGAGCAAATGTGGTGTCAGTGGGACGAAAGCTTTAGGAGGAGTTAGCGAAATTCCAATGTGTGCGAATCGGCAAAAGATGCAAAATAGCCCTTTAACCGTACTTTTTACAGATACGCACACATTGACTTTTTCGTAGATCTTATTGAGATACACGTGATTGTCAAATTTTGTGTCAATATGCCTAAGCGTACAGGCGTGACACTCAACAATGTGTATTTTCGCCTTAGGGGACAAGAAAAAATGGACTTTTTTCTCCTGCCATGGGGGGGCGCTCTTTTGGCGAGTAAAAATTCCTTCACAAATGTGTTAATTGCTGGACATTGCATCATCCTAGAGAACTTGGAGGCCAGTGAGGACAAAAATAAAAAGTTATAAGACTTTTAAGACTGTGGATTTTTGGGTTATCTTTGGCTCCCCCTAGAACCTAAACCGTGGGGTGCAGCGTCATGATTTGTACAACTTTTAATGGCCATGGGGTGTAGATTGGCCTGAGCAAATGTGGTGCCGGTGGAACGAAAGCCTTCGGAGGAGTTAGCGAAATTCCAATGTGTGCGGATCGGCAAAAAATGCGAAATAACCCTTTAACCGTACATTTGACAGATACGCCCGCACTGACTTTTTTGTAGATCTTATTGAGATACATGTGTGTGTCAAATTTTGAGTCAATATGACAAAGCGTACAGGCGTGACAGTCAATAGTGTAAATTTTCACCTTAGGGGGCGCTATGGAGCCATTTTGCATTTTATTGTTTGGGCGACTTCAGAATATCGAATTTTTCACCAGGCCCGGTCGTCCTGCCAAATTTCATGAGTTTTCGCCAGTGGGAAGTGGGCCATTTTCCCCTTCAAAGGGGAGGAAAAATAAGAAGAAAGAAAGAAAGAAAGAAAGAAAGAAGAAAGAAAAACCTATACAGGAATAATAGGGCTCTACGCCCGGCTGCTCTGCAGCTGGCTCGGGCCCTAATAATAATAACTAGGGCCCCGTTGGGGCACTGGCGGGCCCGAGCCGTGTCGCCTCTGCATTCTTGTCAAATATGTAAATAGCATGTTTTTGCAGGTGCTAAAAAACAGACTCTGAGTGTGTGTGTGTGTGTGTGCGTGTGTGTGTGTGTGTCTGTGTGTGTGTGTGTGTGTATCCTGCAGTACTCTGAGAAGAATAATAATCATATTTCTGAGGTGAATTTTGAAGATTCATCTGAGAGTTAGGTTTGATTCGATTCGATTGACGCTCCCCAGCGTTCAAGTCACATGACATATTTAACCGGATGTAGCTGCAAGACGGAGCCTCGTTAACTCTCCGTTTCAACTTATCTCAAAAGTGAGGACCTCAACCTATATACCAGTTTTTAAATTGTGTTGATAGGCCAAATAAAACCAGAGTTATGATAAATTATGTCCGCGATACTTTTTTTCTGCTTATTTTGATCACGTTCGGCGCTCGATCGCGCTGTATGAGACAGGAAAACATAGCATGCACACATTAGCGACAGGTCTTACAGGCGGAAAAGGCTTGCCAAAAGAAAAAAAAAACACACCACAACATCTCTCCTATTGGTGGAAAACTTCACCACAACAACCAATCCAAAATTATATGGTGACTGATTGACAAGGGGCGGGCGCTTACGTTCTTCCTGCAACATGAGAAGGGAGGGAGGGACTCTCAGCAGGGATGCAGTCTGGGACACGTAGTTGCAAACCTAGCGACTTTGTTGTTAGATTCAATTACTTTTCAGACCCCCTAACGACTTTTTTTTAGAAAGAAAGGGACTTTTATCGACTTCTTCTGGAGTTTAGAGACTCTGACATGAAGCAGGCTTTCCTTACTGAGGAGTTAGCAACGCTGCTAAGGGTGCAGAGCCACACATGCGCTCCGAGCTCTGCATGGGAGACTGAAGCTGACAGAGCTGCAGCAGTTAGCAGGTTTCACCCTCAGAGACCACCAGGGGTTCATGTTGAGGCATTTTCAGTTTTTGTTTTTTTTTGCCATAGACTGTCAGCACAATCTGCAGTTACACTAACAAAAATGCTGCAAAAAACAAAGAATTATGGAAAAATTACACATGGACTGACATAGAGGAGGATCTACACAAGTTTTTTACATCATGTTTTACATCATGCATCATTTACATCATGTTTTTTTGTAGTGGCATAAATAAAAAGTGACATTTGTGAGACTATACAGTGTTTTGTAAATAATTTTACAAAGATTGCTGGGCCATTGCCTGCATTTTGATGTAAATAGAGGTAAATTACTATGTTCTTTGTTAAAAATTTGCATATGTTTTGAAGTTTACAATTTTTATTTGAAGTTTAAGTTTTAAAAACAGTTCATCACACATATTTGTGGTTTAATTTCACATTAATTTCCATATTGTATAAATGACTGGAAAAAACTTGAGCCCCTGCCCCTGTATAATCATGTGCACGTCCCTGTTCTAGCTCCAAGGTGAATCTTCACTGCTCATGTTCTCCTCAGAAAAAGTCACCTCACTCCCCTCAGGTTACTGTACACATGCACCAACTATCTGCTTCAGGTTTGGATGGAGCTTCATGGTTGTCTTTTGGAGAAATGAACAGTCAAGTTGTGTTTGAAATTTGATTTTTTTCAGGGGCAAAAGGAAGCCTCTGCATTCTTGTCAAATATGTAAACAGCATGTTTTTGCAGGTGCTAAAAAACAGACTCTGAGTGTGTGTGTGTGTGTGTGTGTATATGTGTGTGTATCCTGCAGTACTCTGTACTCCTGCAGTGGCCAAAAAGACTTTTAAGAATGTGGATTTTTGGGTCATCTTTGGCGCCCCCTAGAACGTAAACCGTGGGGTGCAGCGTCATGATTTTTACAACTTTGAATGGGCATGGGGTGTAGATTGCCCTGAGCAAATTTGGTATCGGTGGGACGAAAGCCTTAGGAGGAGATAGCCACATTCCAATGTGTGCGAATCGGCAAAAAATGCGAAATAGCCCTTTAACCGTACATTATACAGATACGCGCTTTTTGACTTTTTCGTAGATCTAATTGAGATACACATGATTGTCAATTTTTGTGTCAATATGACAAAGCGTTCAGGCGTGACACTCAACAATGTGTATTTTCATGTAAGGGGACAAGAAAATCTTGACTTTTTTCTCCTGCCATGGGGGGGCGCTCTTTTGGGGAGTAAAAATTCCTTCACACATGTGTTGATGGCTGGACATAGCATCATCCTAGAAAACTTGGAGGCCAGTGAGGACAAAAATAAAAAGTTATAAGACTTTTAAGAATGTGGATTTTTGGGTTATCTTTGGCGCCCCCTAGAACATAAACCGTGGGGTGCAGCGTCATGATTTGTACAACTTTTAATGGCCATGGGGTGTAGATTGGCCTGAGCAAATTTGGTGCCGGTGGAACGAAAGCCTTCGGAGGAGTTAGCGAAATTCCAATGTGTGCGGATCGGCAAAAAATGCGAAATAGCCCTTTAACCGTACATTTGACAGATACGCCCGCACTGACTTTTTTGTAGAACTTATTGAGATACACATGTGTGTCAAATTTTGTGTCATTTTGACAAAGCGTACAGGCGTCAGGTGAGTTTTCACCATAGGGGGCGCTATGGAGCAATTTTTCATTTTTTTGTTTGGGCCCTTTCAGAATATCAAATTTTTCACCAGGCCCGGTCGTCCTGCCAAATTTCCAGAGTTTTCGCCAGTGGGAAGTGGGCCATTTTCCAGTTTAAAGCGGAGGAAAAATAACGAAAGAAGAATCCATCAGGAACAAGAGGGCTCTCGCAGCTGCTTAGCAGCTACGCTCGGGCCCTAACTAGGGCCCCGTTGGGGCACTGTCGGGCCCGAGCCGCGTCGCGCCGCCCCAAGCGCGACCGCCTCCCCGTCCCATTCGTGCCCTCTGGCCATCGCCCTCTCTGGTAACGCCCATCACTGCAAAGACCCTTTTCCTTCATCGGTGTTTGCTGTTCTTCCTGCCATTGTGTGTTGCTTTCACTTACACTTGCCACAGCCAGCCTCGTGAGTGCCTGGCCTGGTTTGACCTTTGCTCACCATGATTGTGTGACCTTGGTATCAGCTACTTGGGAAGTTCAACCGTTGTGGCAAAGCTTTGTTTGCGTGCTGTGCTCAACCACCTATTTTCTATGGATGTGTAAGTAAACCACTTTCTTTCTTACACAATGACACACTCATACTTATCACTCACTGCTACTGATGTGCTCTGTTAGTATGCATGCAGGAAACCTGATGAATGAAGAAATGCCCAGACTAGCCAACATCTCAATAAATTATGAGGTATGACATCACTTGAATGGTTTCCTTGGACTATGCTTCCATTATTCTAATTCTGTAATAAAAAGAAATTTTGTCCAAAAGGACTGTTGTTGTTTTTTCTTCTAATAATTAACATATTTAACATAATTAACATTCAATATGCGCTCATTACACACGTGCACACTCTTTGATGATCTGAGAAGCAGAGCTTAAAGGACAGTAGGAGTAGCTGAACAAAGTGTATTTGTAGGAAAGTTGTAAGAGCTATTGAAACGCCGTTTTCGCGGGTTGAAAGGTTAGGGTGTCCACCAAAGGTCAGAGGTCAAATAACATTTGTATCTCAAACTGTGACGTCAAAGTCAAGGTCCAAAGATGGTGTGCGCACCTGTCTTTGGTCATTTCCCATTATAATGAATGGGAGGCACAGTTTCTACCAAAACGCTCGCTGCAGACAAACTACATGTCCTATTTGAAAAAACTCTGGACCATGAGTGAGGGCACAAACACAGCTAGGACATATCCAAATGGCAAGTTGCTCCTCCTTTTGGTTTTAGCGGGAGAGCAATGCGTTTGAGCCATTAAGCGATGGGCTGGAAAAACTTGACTTTTTCTCCTGCCATGGGGGGGGGGGGGGCGCTCTTTTGGGGAGAAAAATTCCTTCACAGATGTGTTGATGGCTGCACATTGCATCATCCTAGAAAACTTGGAGGCCAGTGAGGACAAAAACAAAAAGTTATAAGACTTTTAAAAATGTGGATATTTGGGTCATCTTTGGCGCCCCCTAGAACCTAAACCGTGGGGTGCAGCGTCATGATTTGTACAACTTTGAATGGCCATGGGGTGTAGATTGGCCTGAGCAAATTTGGTGTCAGTAGAACGAAAGCCTTAGGAGGAGTTAGCCACATTCTAATGTGTGCGAATCGGCAAAAAATGCAAGATAGCCCTTTAACCGTACATTTTACAGATATGTGCCCATTGACTTTTTCGTAGATCTTATTGAGATACACGTGTGTGTCAAATTTTGTGTCAATATGACAAAGCGTATAGGCGTGACACTGAACAATGTGTATTTTCACCTTAGGGGACAAGAAAAAATGGCCTTTTTTGTCCTGCCATGGGGGGGGCGCTGTTTTGGGGAGTAAAAATTCCTTCACAAATGTGTTGATGGCTGGACATTGCATCATCCTAGAAAACTTGGAGGCCAATGAGGACAAAAATAAAAAGTTATAAGATTTTTAAGAATGTGGATTTGTGGGTCATCTTTGGCGCCCCCTAGAACGTAAACCGTGGGGTGCAGCGTCATGATTTGTACAACTTTTAATGGCCATGGGGTGTAGATTGGCCTGAGCAAATGTGGTGCCGGTGGAACGAATGCCTTCGGAGGAGTTAGCGAAATTCCAATGTGTGCAGATCTGCAAAAAATGCGAAATAACCCTCTAACCGTACATTTCACAGATGCGCCCGCACTGACTTTTTCGTAGATCTTATTGAGATACACATGTGTGTCAAATTTTGTGTCATTTTGACAAAGCGTACAGGCGTCAGGTGAGTTTTCACCATAGGGGGCGCTATGGAGCCATTTTTCATTTTTTTGTTTGGGCGACTTCAGAATATCGAATTTTTCACCAGGCCCGGTCGTCCTGCCAAATTTCATGAGTTTTCGCCAGTGGGAAGTGGGCCATTTTCCAGTTTAAAGCGGAGGAAAAATAATAACTAGGGCCCCGTTGGGGCACTGTCGGGCCCGAGCCGCGTCGCGCCGCCCCCAGCGCGACCGCCTCCCCGTCCCATTCGTGCCCTCTGGCCATCGCCCTCTCTGGTGACGCCCATCACTGCAAAGACCCTTTTCCTTCATCGGTGTTTGCTGTTCTTCCTGCCATTGTGTGTTGCTTTCACTTACACTTGCCACAGCCAGCCTCGTGAGTGCCTGGCCTGGTTTGACCTTTGCTCACCATGATTGTGTGACCTTGGTATCAGCTACTTGGGAAGTTCAACCGTTGTGGCAAAGCTTTGTTTGCGTGCTGTGCTCAACCACCTATTTTCTATGGATGTGTAAGTAAACCACTTTCTTTCTTACACAATGACACACTCATACTTATCACTCACTGCTACTGATGTGCTCTGTTAGTATGCATGCAGGAAACCTGATGAATGAAGAAATGCCCAGACTAGCCAACATCTCAATAAATTATGAGGTATGACATCACTTGAATGGTTTCCTTGGACTATGCTTCCATTATTCTAATTCTGTAATAAAAAGAAATTTTGTCCAAAAGGACTGTTGTTGTTTTTTCTTCTAATAATTAACATATTTAACATAATTAACATTCAATATGCGCTCATTACACACGTGCACACTCTTTGATGATCTGAGAAGCAGAGCTTAAAGGACAGTAGGAGTAGCTGAACAAAGTGTATTTGTAGGAAAGCCGTAAGAGCTATTGAAACGCCGTTTTCGCGGGTTGAAAGGTTAGGGTGTCCACCAAAGGTCAGAGGTCAAATAACATTTGTATCTCAAACTGTGACGTCAAAGTCAAGGTCCAAAGATGGTGTGCGCACCTGTCTTTGGTCATTTCCCATTATAATGAATGGGAGGCACAGTTTCTACCAAAACGCTCGCTGCAGACAAACTACATGTCCTATTTGAAAAAACTCTGGACCATGAGTGAGGGCACAAACACAGCTAGGACATATCCAAATGGCAAGTTGCTCCTCCTTTTGGTTTTAGCGGGAGAGCAATGCGTTTGAGCCATTAAGCGATGGGCTGGAAAAACTTGACTTTTTCTCCTGCCATTGGGGGGGGCGCTCTTTTGGGGAGAAAAAATTCCTTCACAGATGTGTTGATGGCTGCACATTGCATCATCCTAGAAAACTTGGAGGCCAGTGAGGACAAAATTAAAAGTTATAAGACTTTTAAAAATGTGGATATTTGGGTCATCTTTGGCGCCCCCTAGAACCTAAACCGTGGGGTGCAGCGTCATGATTTGTACAACTTTGAATGGCCATGGGGTGTAGATTGGCCTGAGCAAATTTGGTGTCAGTAGAACGAAAGCCTTAGGAGGAGTTAGCCACATTCTAATGTGTGCGAATCGGCAAAAAATGCAAGATAGCCCTTTAACCGTACATTTTACAGATATGTGCCCATTGACTTTTTCGTAGATCTTATTGAGATACACGTGTGTGTCAAATTTTGTGTCAATATGACAAAGCGTATAGGCGTGACACTGAACAATGTGTATTTTCACCTTAGGGGACAAGAAAAAATGGCCTTTTTTGTCCTGCCATGGGGGGGGGGGCGCTGTTTTGGGGAGTAAAAATTCCTTCACAAATGTGTTGATGGCTGGACATTGCATCATCCTAGAAAACTTGGAGGCCAATGAGGACAAAAATAAAAAGTTATAAGATTTTTAAGAATGTGGATTTGTGGGTTATCTTTGGCGCCCCCTAGAACGTAAACCGTGGGGTGCAGCGTCATGATTTGTACAACTTTTAATGGCCATGGGGTGTAGATTGGCCTGAGCAAATGTGGTGCCGGTGGAACGAATGCCTTCGGAGGAGTTAGCGAAATTCCAATGTGTGCAGATCTGCAAAAAATGCGAAATAACCCTCTAACCGTACATTTCACAGATGCGCCCGCACTGACTTTTTCGTAGATCTTATTGAGATACACATGTGTGTCAAATTTTGTGTCATTTTGACAAAGCGTACAGGCGTCAGGTGAGTTTTCACCATAGGGGGCGCTATGGAGCCATTTTTCATTTTTTTGTTTGGGCGACTTCAGAATATCGAATTTTTCACCAGGCCCGGTCGTCCTGCCAAATTTCCTGAGTTTTCGCCAGTGGGAAGTGGGCCATTTTCCAGTTTAAAGCGGAGGAAAAATAACGAAAGAAGAATCCATCAGGAACAAGAGGGCTCTCGCAGCTGCTTAGCAGCTACGCTCGGGCCCTAACAAACTAGGGCCCCGTTGGGGCACTGGCGGGCATGAGCCGCGTTGCGCCGCCCCCAGTGCGACCGCCTCCCCCTCCCGATCGCGTCACACTCAAGGTCCAAAGATGGTGTGCGCACTTGTCTGTGGTCATTTCCCATTATAATGAATGGGAGGCGCAGTTTCTACCAAAACACTCGCTGCAGACAAACTACATGTCCTATTTGAAAAAAGTCTGGACCATGAGTGAGGGCACAAACACTGCTAGGATATATCCAAACGGCAAGTTGCTCCTCGTTACGGTGTTGCCGGGAGAGCGATGCGATTGAGCCATTGAGTGATGGGCAGGAAAAACTTGACTGTTTCTCCTGCCATGGGGGATGGGGGATGGGGGGGGGGGGGGGGGATGTGGATTCTTTTAAGAATGTGGATATTTGGGTCATCTTTGGCGCCCCCTAGAACGTAAACCGTGGGGTGAAGCGTCATGATTTTTAAAACTTTGAATGGCCATGGGGTGTAGATTGGCCTGAGCAAATTTGGTGTCAGTGGGACGAAAGCCTTAGGAGGTGTTAGCCACATTCCAATGTGTGCTAATCGGCAAAAAATGCAAAATAGCCCTTTAACCGTACATTTTACAGATACGCGCGCATTGACTTTTTCGTAGATCTTATTGAGATACATGTGTGTGTCAAATTTTGTGTCAATATGACAAAGCATACAGGTATGACAGTCAACAATGTGTATTTTCACCTTATGGGACAAGAAAAAATGGACTTTTTTCTCCTGCCATGGGGGGGCGCTCTTTTGGGGAGTAAAAATTCCTTCACAAATGTGTTGATGGCTGCACATTGCATCATCCTAGAAAACTTGGAGGCCAGTGAGGACAAAAATAAAAAGTTATAAGACTTTTAAAAATGTGGATATTTGGGTCATCTTTGGCGCCCCCTAGAACCTAAACCGTGGGGTGCAGCGTCATGATTTGTACAACTTTGAATGGCCATGGGGTGTAGATTGGCCTGAGCAAATTTGGTGTCAGTAGAACGAAAGCCTTAGGAGGAGTTAGCCACATTCTAATGTGTGCGAATCGGCAAAAAATGCAAGATAGCCCTTTAACCGTACATTTTACAGATATGTGCCCATTGACTTTTTCGTAGATCTTATTGAGATACACGTGTGTGTCAAATTTTGTGTCAATATGACAAAGCGTATAGGCGTGACACTGAACAATGTGTATTTTCACCTTAGGGGACAAGAAAAAATGGCCTTTTTTGTCCTGCCATGGGGGGGGGGCGCTGTTTTGGGGAGTAAAAATTCCTTCACAAATGTGTTGATGGCTGGACATTGCATCATCCTAGAAAACTTGGAGGCCAATGAGGACAAAAATAAAAAGTTATAAGATTTTTAAGAATGTGGATTTGTGGGTTATCTTTGGCGCCCCCTAGAACGTAAACCGTGGGGTGCAGCGTCATGATTTGTACAACTTTTAATGGCCATGGGGTGTAGATTGGCCTGAGCAAATGTGGTGCCGGTGGAACGAATGCCTTCGGAGGAGTTAGCGAAATTCCAATGTGTGCAGATCTGCAAAAAATGCGAAATAACCCTCTAACCGTACATTTCACAGATGCGCCCGCACTGACTTTTTCGTAGATCTTATTGAGATACACATGTGTGTCAAATTTTGTGTCATTTTGACAAAGCGTACAGGCGTCAGGTGAGTTTTCACCATAGGGGGCGCTATGGAGCCATTTTTCATTTTTTTGTTTGGGCGACTTCAGAATATCGAATTTTTCACCAGGCCCGGTCGTCCTGCCAAATTTCCTGAGTTTTCGCCAGTGGGAAGTGGGCCATTTTCCAGTTTAAAGCGGAGGAAAAATAACGAAAGAAGAATCCATCAGGAACAAGAGGGCTCTCGCAGCTGCTTAGCAGCTACGCTCGGGCCCTAACAAACTAGGGCCCCGTTGGGGCACTGGCGGGCATGAGCCGCGTTGCGCCGCCCCCAGTGCGACCGCCTCCCCCTCCCGATCGCGTCACACTCAAGGTCCAAAGATGGTGTGCGCACTTGTCTGTGGTCATTTCCCATTATAATGAATGGGAGGCGCAGTTTCTACCAAAACACTCGCTGCAGACAAACTACATGTCCTATTTGAAAAAAGTCTGGACCATGAGTGAGGGCACAAACACTGCTAGGATATATCCAAACGGCAAGTTGCTCCTCGTTACGGTGTTGCCGGGAGAGCGATGCGATTGAGCCATTGAGTGATGGGCAGGAAAAACTTGACTGTTTCTCCTGCCATGGGGGATGGGGGATGGGGGGGGGGGGGGGGGGGGATGTGGATTCTTTTAAGAATGTGGATATTTGGGTCATCTTTGGCGCCCCCTAGAACGTAAACCGTGGGGTGAAGCGTCATGATTTTTAAAACTTTGAATGGCCATGGGGTGTAGATTGGCCTGAGCAAATTTGGTGTCAGTGGGACGAAAGCCTTAGGAGGTGTTAGCCACATTCCAATGTGTGCTAATCGGCAAAAAATGCAAAATAGCCCTTTAACCGTACATTTTACAGATACGCGCGCATTGACTTTTTCGTAGATCTTATTGAGATACATGTGTGTGTCAAATTTTGTGTCAATATGACAAAGCATACAGGTATGACAGTCAACAATGTGTATTTTCACCTTATGGGACAAGAAAAAATGGACTTTTTTCTCCTGCCATGGGGGGGCGCTCTTTTGGGGAGTAAAAATTCCTTCACAAATGTGTTGATGGCTGGACATTGCATCATCCTAGAAAACTTGGAGGCCAGAGAGGACAAAAATAAAAAGTTATAAGACTTTTAAATATGTGGATTTTAGGGTTATCTTTGGCGCCCCCTAGAACCTAAACCGTGGGGTGCAGCGTCATGATTTGAATAACTTTTAATGGCCATGGGGTGTAGATTGGCCTGAGCAAATGTGGTGCCGGTGGAACGAAAGCCTTCGGAGGAGTTAGCGAAATTCCAATGTGTGCGGATCGCCAAAAAATGCGCAATAACCCTTTAACCGTACATTTGACAGATACGCCAGCACTGACTTTTTTGTAGATCTTATTGAGATACATGTGTGTGTCAATTTTTGTGTAATTTTGACAAAGCGTACAGGCGTGACAGTCAATAGTGTGAATTTTCACCTTATGGGACAAGAAAAAATGGACTTTTTTCTCCTGCCATGGGGGGGCGCTCTTTTGGGGAGTAAAAATTCCTTCACAAATGAGTTGATGGCTGGACATTGCATCATCCTAGAGAACTTGGAGGCCAGTGAGGGCAAAAATAAAAAGTTATAAGACTTTGAAATATGTGGATTTTAGGGTTATCTTTGGCGCCCCCTAGAACCTAAACCGTGGGGTGCAGTGTCATGATTTGAATAACTTTTAATGGCCATGGGGTGTAGATTGGCCTGAGCAAATGTGGTGCCGGTGGAACGAAAGCCTTCGGAGGAGTTAGCGAAATTCCAATGTGTGCGGATCGGCAAAAAATGCGAAATAACCCTTTAACCGTACATTTGACAGATACGCCCGCACTGACTTTTTTGTAGATCTTATTGAGATACATGTGTGTGTCAATTTTTGTGTCATTTTGACAAAGCGTACAGGCGTCAGGTGAATTTTTCACCTTAGGGGGCGCTATGGAGCCATTTTGCATTGTATTGTTTGGGCGACTTCAGAATATCAAATTTTTCACCAGGCCCGGTCGTCCTGCCAAATTTCATGAGTTTTCGCCAGTGGGAAGTGGGCCATTTTCCAGTTCAAAGGGGAGGAAAAAGAAAAAAGAAACAAAGAACTAGGGCCCCGTTGGGGCACTGGCGGGCCCGAGCCGTGTCGCGCCCCCTCCCCAACGCGATCGCCTCCCCGTCCCATTCTCTTCCTCTGGCCATCGCCCTCTCTGGAAACGCCCATCACTACAAAGACCCTTATACTTCATCGGCGTTTGTGGTTCTTCCCGCCAGTGTGTGTCCAACGCTTTTGCGCGTTGAAAGGTTAGGGTCTCCACTAAAGGTCAGAGGTCAAATAACATTTGTATCTCAAACTGTGACGTCACAGTCAGGGTCCAAAGATGGTGTGCGCAACTGTCTTTGGTCATTTCCCATTATAATGAATGGGAGGCACAGTCTCTACCAAAACGCTCGCTGCAGAAAAACTACGTGTCCTTTTTGAAAAAAGTCTGGACCATGAGTGAGGGCACAAACACAGCTAGTATATATCCAAATGGCAAGTTGCTCCTCCTTTCGGTTTTGCCGAGAGAGCGATGCGTTTGAGCCATTGAGCGATGGGCAGGAAAAACTTGACTTTTTCTCCTGCCATGGGGGGGCGCTCTTTTGGGGAGAAAAAATTCCTTCACAAATGTGTTGATGGCTGCACATTGCATCATCCTAGAAAACTTGGAGGCCAGTGAGGACAAAAATAAAAAGTTATAAGACTTTTAAGAATGTGGATTTTTGGGTCATCTTTGGCGCCCCCTAGAACTGCAGTACTCTGTACTCCTGCAGTGGCCAAAATGACTTTTAAGAATGTGGATTTTTGGGTCATCTTTGGCGCCCCCTAGAACGTAAACCGTGGGGTGCAGCGTCATGATTTGTACAACTTTGAATGGCCATGGGGTGTAGATTGACCTGAGCAAATTTGAAGCCGATGGGACAAAAGATTTAGGAGGAGTTAGCCACATTCCAATGTGTGCGAATCGGCAAAAAATGCGAAATAGCCCTTTAACCGTACATTGAACAGATACGCTCGCATTGACTTTTTCGTAGATCTTATTGAGATACATGTGTGTGTCAAATTTTGTGTCATTTTGACAAAGCGTAAAGGCGTGACAGTCAACAATGGTTATTTTCGCCTTAGGAGACAAGAAAAAATGGACTTTTTTCTCCTGCCATGGAGGGGGGCGCTCTTTTGGCGAGTAAAAATTCCTTCACAAATGTGTTGATGGCTGGACATTGCATCATCCTAGAGAACTTGGAGGCCAGTGAGGACAAAAATAAAAAGTTATAAGACTTTTAAGACTGTGGATTTTTGGGTTATCTTTGGCGCCCCCTAGAACGTAAACCGTGGGGTGCAGCGTCATGATTTGTACAACTTTTAATGGCCATGGGGTGTAGATTGGCCTGAGCAAATGTGGTGCCTTTGGAACGAAAGCCTTCGGAGGAGTTAGCGAAATTCCAATGTGTGCGGATCGGCAAAAAATGCGAAATAGCCCTTTAACCGTACATTTGACAGATACGCCCGCACTGACTTTTTTGTAGATCTTATTGAGATACATGTGTGTGTCAATTTTTGTGTCAATATGACAAAGCGTAAAGGCGTGACAGTCAATAGTGTGAATTTTCGCCTTAGGAGACAAGAAAAAATGGACTTTTTTCTCCTGCCATGGGGGGGCGCTCTTTTGGCGAGTAAAAATTCCTTCACAAATGTGTTGATGGCTGGACATTGCATCATCCTAGAGAACTTGGAGGCCAGTGAGGACAAAAATAAAAAGTTATAAGACTTTTAAATATGTGGATTTTAGGGTTATCTTTGGCGCCCCCTAGAACCTAAACCGTGGGGTGCAGCGTCATGATTTGAATAACTTTTAATGGCCATGGGGTGTAGATTGGCCTGAGCAAATGTGGTGCCGGAGGAACGAAAGCCTTAGGAGGAGTTAGCCACATTCCAATGTGTGCGGATCGGCAAAAAATGCGGAATAACCCTTTAACCGTACATTTGACAGATACACGCGCATTGACTTTTTCGTAGATCTTATTGAGTTACATGTGTGTGTCAATTTTTGTGTCATTTTGACAAAGCGTATAGGCGTGACACTCAACAATGTGTATTTTCACCTTAGGGGACAAGAAAAAATGGACTTTTTTCTTCTGCCATGGGGGGGCGCTCTTTTGGGGAGTAAAAATTCCTTCACAAATGTGTTGATGGCTGGACATTGCATCATCCTAGAAAACTTGGAGGCCAGTGAGGACAAAAATAAAAAGTTATAAGACTTTTAAATATGTGGATTTTAGGGTTATCTTTGGCGCCCCCTAGAACCTAAACCTTGGGGTGCAGCGTCATGATTTTGATAACTTTTAATGGCCACGGGGTGTAGATTGGCCTGAGCAAATGTGGTGCCGGTGGAACGAAAGCCTTCGGAGGAGTTAGCGAAATTCCAATGTGTGCGGATCGGCAAAAAATGCGAAATAACCCTTTAACCGTAATTTTGACAAATACGGCCGCACTGACTTTTTTGTAGATCTTATTAAGATACATATGTGTGTCAATTTTTGTGTCAATATGACAAAGCGTACAGGCGTGACAGTCAATAGTGTGAATTTCCACCTTAGGGGGCGCTATGGAGCCATTTTGCATTTTATTGTTTGGGCGACTTCAGAATATCGAATTTTTCACCAGGCCCGGTCGTCCTGCCAAATTTCATGAGTTTTCGCCAGTGGGAAGTGGGCCATTTTCCAGTTCAAAGGGGAGGAAAAATAATAACTAGGGCCCCGTTGGGGCACTGGCGGGCCCGAGCCGTGTCACGCCGCCCCCAGCGCGACCGCCTCCCCCACCCGATCGCGTCACACTCAAGGTCCAAAGATGGTGTGCGCACTTGTTTGTGGTCATTTACCATTATAATGAACGGGAGGCGCAGTTTCTACCAAAACGCTCGCTGCAGAAAAACTCCATGTCCTATTTGAAAAAAGTCTGGACCATGAGTGAGGGCACAAACACAGCTAAGATATATCCAAATGGCAAGTTGCTCCTCCTTTCGCTTTTGCCGAGAGAGCAGTGCGTTTGAGCCATTGAATGATGAACAGGAAAAACTTGACTTTATTCTCCTGCCATGGGGGGCGCTCTTTTAACGAGAAAAAACTCCTTCACAAATGTGTTGATGGCTGGACATTGCATCATCCTAGAAAACATGGAGGCCAGTGAGGACAAAAATAAAAAGTTATAAGACTTTTAAATATGTGGATTTTACGGTTATCTTTGGCGCCCCCTAGAACCTAAACCGTGGGGTGCAGCGTCATGATTTGAATAACTTTTAATGGCCATGGGGTGTAGATTGGCCTGAGCAAATGTGGTGCCGGTGGAACGAAAGCCTTCGGAGGAGTTAGCGAAATTCCAATGTGTGCGAATCTGCAAAAAATGCGAAATAACCCTTTAACCGTACATTTGACAGATACGTGGCCATTGACTTTTTCGAAGATCTTATTGAAATACACGTGTGTGTAAAATTTTGTGTCAATACGACAAAACATACAGGCGTAGCACTCAACAATGTGTATTTTCACCTTAGTGGACAAGAAAAAATGGACTTTTTTCTCCTGCCATGGGGGGGCGCTCTTTTGGCGAGTAAAAATTCCTTCACAAATGTGTTGATGGCTGGACATTGCATCATCCTAGAAAACTTGGAGGCCAGTGGGGACAAAAATAAAAAGTTATAAGACTTTTAAATATGTGGATTTTACGGTTATCTTTGGCGCCCCCTAGAACCTAAACCGTGGGGTGCAGCGTCATGATTTGAATAACTTTTAATGGCCATGGGGTGTAGATTGGCCTGAGCAAATGTGGTGCCGGTGGAACGAAAGCCTTCGGAGGAGTTAGCGAAATTCCAATGTGTGCGGATCGGCAAAAAATGCGGAATAACCCTTTAACTGTACATTTGACAGATACGCGCGCGTTGACTTTTTCGTAGATCTTATTGAGATACATGTGTGTGTCAATTTTTGTGTCATTTTGCCAAAGCGTACAGGTGTTACACTCAACAATGTGTATTTTCACCTTAGGGGACAAGAAAAAATGGACTTTTTTCTCCTGCCATGGGGGGGCGCTCTTTTGGGGAGTAAAAATTTCTTCACAAATGTGTTGATGGCTGGACATTGCATCATCCTAGAAAACTTGGAGGCCAGTGAGGGCAAAAATAAAAAGTTATAAGACTTTTAAATATGTGGATCTTAGGGTTATCTTTGGCGCCCCCTAGAACCTAAACCGTGGGGTGCAGCGTCATGATTTGAATAACTTTTAATGGCCATGGGGTGTAGATTGGCCTGAGCAAATGTGGTGCCGGTGGAACGAAAGCCTTCGGAGGAGTTAGCGAAATTCCAATGTGTGCGGATCGGCAAAAAATGCGAAATAACCCTTTAACCGTACATTTGACAGATACGCCCGCACTGACTTTTTTGTAGATCTTATTGAGATACATGTGTGTGTCAATTTTTGTGTCATTTTGACAAAGCGTACAGCCGTCATGTGAATTTTCACCTTAGGGGGCGCTATGGAGCCATTTTGCATTTTATTGTTTGGGCGACTTCGGAATATCAAATTTTTCACCAGGCCCGGTCGTCCTGCCAAATTTCATGAGTTTTCGCCAGTGGGAAGTGGGCCATTTTCCAGTTCAAAGGGGAGGAAAAAGAAACTAGGGCCCCGTTGGGGCACTGGCGGGCCCGAGCCGTGTCACGCCGCCCCCAGCGCGACCGCCTCCCCCACCCGATCGCGTCACACTCAAGGTCCAAAGATGGTGTGCGCACTTGTTTGTGGTCATTTACCATTATAATGAACGGGAGGCGCAGTTTCTACCAAAACGCTCGCTGCAGAAAAACTCCATGTCCTATTTGAAAAAAGTCTGGACCATGAGTGAGGGCACAAACACAGCTAAGATATATCCAAATGGCAAGTTGCTCCTCCTTTCGCTTTTGCCGAGAGAGCAGTGCGTTTGAGCCATTGAATGATGAACAGGAAAAACTTGACTTTATTCTCCTGCCATGGGGGGGCGCTCTTTTAACGAGAAAAAACTCCTTCACAAATGTGTTGATGGCTGGACATTGCATCATCCTAGAAAACATGGAGGCCAGTGAGGACAAAAATAAAAAGTTATAAGACTTTTAAATATGTGGATTTTACGGTTATCTTTGGCGCCCCCTAGAACCTAAACCGTGGGGTGCAGCGTCATGATTTGAATAACTTTTAATGGCCATGGGGTGTAGATTGGCCTGAGCAAATGTGGTGCCGGTGGAACGAAAGCCTTCGGAGGAGTTAGCGAAATTCCAATGTGTGCGAATCTGCAAAAAATGCGAAATAACCCTTTAACCGTACATTTGACAGATACGTGGCCATTGCCTTTTTCGAAGATCTTATTGAAATACACGTGTGTGTAAAATTTTGTGTCAATACGACAAAACATACAGGCGTAGCACTCAACAATGTGTATTTTCACCTTAGTGGACAAGAAAAAATGGACTTTTTTCTCCTGCCATGGGGGGCGCTCTTTTGGCGAGTAAAAATTCCTTCACAAATGTGTTGATGGCTGGACATTGCATCATCCTAGAAAACTTGGAGGCCAGTGGGGACAAAAATAAAAAGTTATAAGACTTTTAAATATGTGGATTTTACGGTTATCTTTGGCGCCCCCTAGAACCTAAACCGTGGGGTGCAGCGTCATGATTTGAATAACTTTTAATGGCCATGGGGTGTAGATTGGCCTGAGCAAATGTGGTGCCGGTGGAACGAAAGCCTTCGGAGGAGTTAGCGAAATTCCAATGTGTGCGGATCGGCAAAAAATGCGGAATAACCCTTTAACTGTACATTTGACAGATACGCGCGCATTGACTTTTTCGTAGATCTTATTGAGATACATGTGTGTGTCAATTTTTGTGTCATTTTGCCAAAGCGTACAGGTGTTACACTCAACAATGTGTATTTTCACCTTAGGGGACAAGAAAAAATGGACTTTTTTCTCCTGCCATGGGGGGGCGCTCTTTTGGGGAGTAAAAATTTCTTCACAAATGTGTTGATGGCTGGACATTGCATCATCCTAGAAAACTTGGAGGCCAGTGAGGGCAAAAATAAAAAGTTATAAGACTTTTAAATATGTGGATCTTAGGGTTATCTTTGGCGCCCCCTAGAACCTAAACCGTGGGGTGCAGCGTCATGATTTGAATAACTTTTAATGGCCATGGGGTGTAGATTGGCCTGAGCAAATGTGGTGCCGGTGGAACGAGAGCCTTCGGAGGAGTTAGCGAAATTCCAATGTGTGCGGATCGGCAAAAAATGCGAAATAACCCTTTAACCGTACATTTGACAGATACGCCCGCACTGACTTTTTTGTAGATCTTATTGAGATACATGTGTGTGTCAATTTTTGTGTCATTTTGACAAAGCGTACAGGCGTGACAGTCAATAGTGTGAATTTTCACCTTAGGGGGCGCTATGGAGCCATTTTGCATTTTCTTGTTTGGGCGACTTCGGAATATCAAATTTTTCACCAGGCCCGGTCGTCCTGCCAAATTTCATGAGTTTTCGCCAGTGGGAAGTGGGCCATTTTCCAGTTCAAAGGGGAGGAAAAATAATAATAATAACTAGGGCCCCGGTGGGGCACTGTCGGGCCCGAGCCGCGTCGCGCCGCCCCTAGCGCGACCGCCTCCCCCTCCCGATCGCGTCACACTCAAGGTCCAAAGATGGTGTGCGCACTTGTCTGTGGTCATTTCCCATTATAATGAATGGGAGGCGCAGTTTCTACCAAAACACTCGCTGCAGACAAACTTCATGTCCTATTTGAAAAAAGTCTGGACCATGAGTGAGGGCACAAACACAGCTATGATATATCGAAATGGCAGGTTGCTCCTCCTTATGGTGTTGCCTGGAGAGCGATGCGATTGAGCCATTGAGCGATGGGCAGGGTTAACTTGACTTTTTCTCCTGCCTTGGGGGGGGATGTGGATTCCTTTAAGAATGTGGATTTTTGGGTCATCTTTGGCGCCCCCTAGAACGTAAACCGTGGGGTGCAGCGTCATGATTTTTACAACTTTGAATGGCCATGGGGTGTAGATTGGCCTGAGCAAATTTGGTGTCAGTGGGACGAAAGCCTTAGGAGGAGTTAGCCACATTCCAATGTGTGCGAATCGGCAAAAAATGCAAAATAGCCCTTTAACCGTACATTTGACAGATACGCGCGCATTGACTTTTTTGTAGATCTTATTGAGATACATATGTGTGTCAATTTTTGTGTCAATATGATAAAGCGTACAGGCGTGACAGTCAACAATGTGAATTTCCACCTTAGGGGACAAGAAAAAATTGACTTTTTTCTCCTGCCATGGGGGGGGGCGCTCTTTTGGGGAGTAAAAATTCCTTCACAAATGTGTTGATGGCTGGACATTGCATCATCCTAGAAAACTTGGAGGCCAGTGAGGACAAAAATAAAAAGTTATAAGACTTTTAAATATGTGGATTTTAGGGTTATCTTTGGCGCCCCCTAGAACCTAAACCGTGGGGTGCAGCGTCATGATTTGAATAACTTTTAATGGCCATGGGGTGTAGATTGGCCTGAGCAAATGTGGTGCCGGTGGAACGAAAGCCTTCGGAGGAGTTAGCGAAATTCCAATGTATGCGGATCGGCAAAAAATGCGGAATAACCCTTTCACCGTACATTTGACAGATACGCGCGCATTGACTTTTTCGTAGATCTTATTGAGATACATGTGTGTGTCAATTTTTGTGTCATTTTGCCAAAGCGTACAGGTGTTACACTCAACAATGTGTATTTTCACCTTAGGGGACAAGAAAAAATGGACTTTTTTCTCCTGCCATGGGGGGCGCTCTTTTGGGGAGTAAAAATTCCTTCACAAATGTGTTGATGGCTGGACATTGCATCATCCTAGAAAACTTGGAGGCCAGTGAGGGCAAAAATAAAAAGTTATAAGACTTTTAAATATGTGGATCTTAGGGTTATCTTTGGCGCCCCCTAGAACCTAAACCGTGGGGTGCAGCGTCATGATTTGAATAACTTTTAATGGCCATGGGGTGTAGATTGGCCTGAGCAAATGTGGTGCCGGTGGAACGAAAGCCTTAGGAGGAGTTAGCGAAATTCCAATGTGTGCGGATCGGCAAAAAATGCGAAATAACCCTTTAACCGTACATTTGACAGATACGCCCGCACTGACTTTTTTGTAGATCTTATTGAGATACATGTGTGTGTCAATTTTTGTGTCATTTTGACAAAGCGTACAGGCGTGACAGTCAATAGTGTGAATTTCCACCTTAGGGGGCGCTATGGAGCCATTTTGCATTTTATTGTTTGGGCGACTTCAGAATATCGAATTTTTCACCAGGCCCGGTCGTCCTGCCAAATTTCATGAGTTTTCGCCAGTGGGAAGTGGGCCATTTTCCAGTTCAAAGGGGAGGAAAAAGAAGAAAGAAAGAAAGAATAAAAAGTTATAAGACTTTTAAATATGTGGATTTTAGTGTTATCTTTGGCGCCCCCTAGAACCTAAACCTTGGGGTGCAGCGTCATGATTTTGATAACTTTTAATGGCCACGGGGTGTAGATTGGCCTGAGCAAATGTGGTGCCGGTGGAACGAAAGCCTTCGGAGGAGTTAGCGAAATTCCAATGTGTGCGGATCGGCAAAAAATGCGAAATAACCCTTTAACCGTAATTTTGACAGATACGGCCGCACTGACTTTTTTGTAGATCTTATTGAGATACATATGTGTGTCAATTTTTGTGTCAATATGACAAAGCGTACAGGCGTGACAGTCAATAGTGTGAATTTTCACCTTAGGGGGCGCTATGGAGCCATTTTGCATTTTATTGTTTGGGCGACTTCAGAATATCAAATTTTTCACCAGGCCCGGTCGTCCTGCCAAATTTCATGAGTTTTCGCCAGTGGGAAGTGGGCCATTTTCCAGTTCAAAGGGGAGGAAAAAGAAAAAAGAAAGAAAGAAACAAAGAAAAACCACTTGGGGAATAATAGGGCCTACGCCCGGCTGCTCTGCAGCTGGCTCGGGCCCTAAGAAAGAAACAAAGAAAAACCCCTACAGGAATAACAGGGCCTACGCCCGGCTGCTCTGCAGCTGGCTCGGGCCCTAACTAGGACCCCGTTGGGGCACTGGCGGGCCCGAGCTGTGTCGCGTCCCCCCCCCAACGCGCTGCCTCCCCGTCCCATTTGTGTCCTCTGGCCATCGCCCTCTCTGGTAACGCCCATCACTGCAAAGACCCTTTTCCTTCATCTGCGTTTGCTGTTCTTCCTGCCAGTGCGTGTTGCTTTCACTTACACTTGCCACAGCCAGCCTCATGAGTGCCTAGCCTATTGGATATCACTGTCACCTACACAGGACAGTCATTACCTTTCTATTAATACTTTGTTTTTTAATTTCACATTAATTTCCATATTGTATAAACAACTGGAAAAAACTTGAGCCCCTGCCCCTGTATAATCATGTGCACGTCTCTGTTCTAGCTCTAAGGTGAATCTTCACTGCTCATGTTCTCCTCAGAAGCAGTCACCTCACTCCCCTCAGGTTACTGTACACATGCACCAACTGCCTGCTTCAGGTTTGGATGGAGCTTCATGGTTGTCTTTTGGAGAAATGACCAGTCAAGTTGTGTTTGAAATTTGATTTTTTTCAGGGGCAAAAGGAGCCTCTGCATTCTTGTCAAATATGTAAATAGCATGTTTTTGCAGGTGCTAAAAACCAGACTCTGAGTGTATGTGTGTGCGTGTGTGTGTGTCTGTGTGTGTGTGTGTGTGTGCGTTCAAGTCACATGACATATTTAACCGGATGTAGCTGCAAGACGGAGCCTCGTTGACTCTCCGTTTCAACTTATCTCAAAAGTGAGGACCTCAACCTATATACCAGTTTTTAAATTGTGTTGATAGGCCAAATAAAACCAGAGTTATGATAAATTATGTCCGCGATACTTTTTTTCTGCTTATTTTGATCACGTTCGGCGCTCGATCGCGCTGTATGAGACAGGAAAACATAGCATGCAGACATTAGCGACAGGTCTTACAGGCGGAAAAGGCTTGCCAAAAGAAAAAAAAAACACACCACAACATCTCTCCTATTGGTGGAAAACTTCACCACAACAACCAATCCAAAATTATATGGTGACTGATTGACAAGGGGCGGGCGCTTACGTTCTTCCTGCAACATGAGAAGGGAGGGAGGGACTCTCAGCAGGGATGCAGTCTGGGACACGTAGTTGCAAACCTAGCGACTTTGTTGTTAGATTCAATGACTTTTCAGACCCCCTAACGACTTTTTTTTAGAAAGAAAGGGACTTTTATCGACTTCTTCTGGAGTTTAGAGACTCTGACATGAAGCAGGCTTTCCTTACTGAGGAGTTAGCAACGCTGCTAAGGGTGCAGAGCCACACATGCGCTCAGAGCTCTGCATGGGAGACTGAAGCTGACAGAGCTGCAGCAGTTAGCAGGTTTCACCCTCAGAGACCACCAGGGGTTCATGTTGAGGCATTTTAATTTTTTTTTTTTTTTTTGTGCCATAGACACTGTCAGCACAATCTGCAGTTACACTAACAAAAATGCTGCAAAAAACAAAGAATTATGGAAAAATTACACATGGACTGACATAGAGGAGGATCTACACAAGTTTTTTACATCATGTTTTACATCATGCATCATTTACATCATGTTTTTTTGTAGTGGCATAAATAAAAAGTGACATTTGTGAGACTATACAGTGTTTTGTAAATAATTTTACAAAGAACGCCTGGGCCATTGCCTGCATTTTGATGTAAATAGAGGTAAATCACTATGTTCTTTGTTAAAAATTTGCATATGTTTTGAAGTTTACAATTTTTATTTGAAGTTTAAGTTTTAAAAACAGTTCATCACACATATTTGTGGTTTAATTTCACATTAATTTCCATATTGTATAAATGACTGGAAAAAACTTGAGCCCCTGCCCCTGTATAATCATGTGCACGTCCCTGTTGTAGCTCCAAGGTGAATCTTCACTGCTCATGTTCTCCTCAGAAATAGTCACCTCACTCCCCTCAGGTTACTGTACACATGCACCAACTATCTGCTTCAGGTTTGAAATGGAGCTTCATGGTTGTCTTTTGGAGAAATGAACAGTCAAGTTGTGTTTGAAATTTGATTTTTTTCAGGGGCAAAAGGAAGCCTCTGCATTCTTGTCAAATATGTAAACAGCATGTTTTTGCAGGTGCTAAAAAACAGACTCTGAGTGTGTGTGTGTGTCTGTGTGTGTGTGTGTGTGGGTGTGTGTGTGTGTGTGTATGTTGGCGTGTGTGTATATGTGTGTGTATCCTGCAGTACTCTGTACTCCTGCAGTGGCCAAAAAGACTTTTAAGAATGTGGATTTTTGGGTCATCTTTGGCGCCCCCTAGAACGTAAACCGTGGGGTGCAGCGTCATGATTTTTACAACTTTGAATGGGCATGGGGTGTAGATTGCCCTGAGCAAATTTGGTATCGGTGGGACGAAAGCCTTAGGAGGAGATAGCCACATTCCAATGTGTGCGAATCGGCAAAAAAATGCAAAATAGCCCTTTAACCGTACATTATACAGATACGCGCTCTTTGACTTTTTCGTAGATCTAATTGAGATACACATGATTGTCAATTTTTGTGTCAATATGACAAAGCGTTCAGGCGTGACACTCAACAATGTGTATTTTTATGTAAGGGGACAAGAAAAAATTGACTTTTTTCTCCTACCATGGGGGGCGCTCTTTTGGGGAGTAAAAATTCCTTCACAAATGTGTTGATGGCTGGACATTGCATCATCCTAGAAAACTTGGAGGCCAGTGAGGACAAAAATAAAAAGTTATAAAACATTTAAGAATGTGGATTTTTGGGTTATTTTTGGCGCCCCCTAGAACCTAAACCATGGGGTGCAGCATCATGATTTGAATAACTTTTAATGGCCATGGGGTGTAGATTGGCCTGAGCAAATGTGGTGCCGGTGGACAGAAAGCCTTCGGAGGAGTTAGCGAAATTCCAATGTGTGCGTATCGGCAAAAAATGCGGAATAACCCTTTAACTATACATTTGACAGATACGCGCGCATGGACTTTTTTGTAGATCTTATTGAGTTACATGTGTGTGTCAATTTTTGTGTCATTTTGACAAAGCGTATAGGCGTGACACTCAACAATGTGTATTTTCGCCTTAGGGGACAAGAAAAAATGGACTTTTTTCTCCTGCCATGGGGGGGCGCTCTTTTGGGGAGTAAAAATTCCTTCACAAATGTGTTGATGGCTGGACATTGCATCATCCTAGAAAACTTGGAGGCCAGTGAGGACAAAAATAAAAAGTTATAAGACTTTTAAATATGTGGATTTTAGTGTTATCTTTGGCGCCCCCTAGAACCTAAACCTTGGGGTGCAGCGTCATGATTTTGATAACTTTTAATGGCCACGGGGTGTAGATTGGCCTGAGCAAATGTGGTGCCGGTGGAACGAAAGCCTTCGGAGGAGTTAGCGAAATTCCAATGTGTGCGGATCGGAAAAAAATGCGAAATAACCCTTTAACCGTACATTTGACAGATACGGCCGCACTGACTTTTTCGTAGATCTTATTGAGATACATATGTGTGTCAATTTTTGTGTCAATATGACAAAGCGTACAGGCGTGACAGTCAATAGTGTGAATTTCCACCTTAGGGGGCGCTATGGAGCCATTTTGCATTTTATTGTTTGGGCGACTTCAGAATATCGAATTTTTCACCAGGCCCGGTCATCCTGCCAAATTTCATGAGTTTTCGCCAGTGGGAAGTGGGCCATTTTCCAGTTCAAAGGGGAGGAAAAAGAAGAAAGAAAGAAACAAAGACTAGGACCCCGTTGGGGCACTGTCGGGCCCGAGCCGTGTCGCGTCCCCCCCCCCCCCCCAACGTGCTGCCTCCCCGTCCCATTTGTGTCCTCTGGCCATCGCCCTCTCTGGTAACGCCCATCACTGCAAAGACCCTTTTCCTTCATCGGCGTTTGCTGTTCTTCCTGCCAGTGCGTGTTGCTTTCACTTACACTTGCCACAGCCAGCCTCGTGAGTGCCTAGCCTATTGGATATCACTGTCACCTACACAGGACAGTCATTACCTTTCTATTAATACTTTGTGTTTTAATTTCACATTAATTTCCATATTGTATAAACGACTGGAAAAAACTTGAGCCCCTGCCCCTGTATAATCATGTGCATGTCTCTGTTCTAGCTCCAAGGTGAATCTTCACTGCTCATGTTCTCCTCAGAAGCACTCACCTCACTCCCCTCAGGTTACTGTACACATGCACCAACTGCCTGCTTCAGGTTTGGATGGAGCTTCATGGTTGTCTTTTGGAGAAATGACCAGTCAAGTTGTGTTTGAAATTTGATTTTTTTCAGGGGCAAAAGGAGCCTCTGCATTCTTGTAAAATATGTAAATAGCATGTTTTTGCAGGTGCTAAAAACCAGACTCTGAGTGTGTGTGTGTGTGTCTGTGTGTGTGTGTGTGTGTGTGTGTGTGTCTGTGTGTGCGTTCAAGTCACATGACATATTTAATCGGATGTAGCTGCAAGACGGAGCCTCGTTGACTCTCCGTTTCAACTTATCTCAAAAGTGAGGACCTCAACCTATATACCAGTTTTTAAATTGTGTTGATAGGCCAAATAAAACCAGAGTTATGATAAATTATGTCCGCGATACTTTTTTTCTGCTTATTTTGATCACGTTCGGCGCTCGATCGCGCTGTATGAGACAGGAAAACATAGCATGCAGACATTAGCAACAGCTCTTACAGGCGGAAAAGGCTTGCCAAAAGAAAAAAAAAACACACCACAACATCTCTCCTATTGGTGGAAAACTTCACCACAACAACCAATCCAAAATTATATGGTGACTGAATGACAAGGGGCGGGCGCTTACGTTCTTCCTGCAACATGAGAAGGGAGGGAGGGACTCTCAGCAGGGATGCAGTCTGGGACACGTAGTTGCAAACCTAGCGACTTTGTTGTTAGATTCAATGACTTTTCAGACCCCCTAACGACTTTTTTTTAGAAAGAAAGGGACTTTTATCGACTTCTTCTGGAGTTTAGAGACTCTGACATGAAGCAGGCTTTCCTTACTGAGGAGTTAGCAACGCTGCTAAGGGTGCAGAGCCACACATGCGCTCAGAGCTCTGCATGGGAGACTGAAGCTGACAGAGCTGCAGCAGTTAGCAGGTTTCACCCTCAGAGACCACCAGGGGTTCATGTTGAGGAATTTTAATTTTTTTCTTTTTTGTGCCATAGACACTGTCAGCACAATCTGCAGTTACACTAACAAAAATGCTGCAAAAAACAAAGAATTATGGAAAAATTACACATGGACTGACATAGAGGAGGATCTACACAAGTTTTTTACATCATGTTTTACATCATGCATCATTTACATCATGTTTTTTTGTAGTGGCATAAATAAAAAGTGACATTTGTGAGACTATACAGTGTTTTGTAAATAATTTTACAAAGAACGCCTGGGCCATTGCCTGCATTTTGATGTAAATAGAGGTAAATCACTATGTTCTTTGTTAAAAATTTGCATATGTTTTGAAGTTTACAATTTTTATTTGAAGTTTAAGTTTTAAAAACAGTTCATCACACCTATTTGTGGTTTTCACAGTAAAAATGTTACTTTTTTCCACTCGGATTTTATGTTTTGTGTGTGAATTTGGGTCCATTGTGTAAATTCAGTATGTCAACATGATAAAATAACTGTAAATTCGCACAGGTGAGGTTGTGCTGAAAAAAATGATACCAGGCAAGGCACGTGATTGTCAAATTTTGTGTCAATATGACAAAGCGTATAGGCGTGAATCTCAACAATATGTATTTTCACCTTAGGGGACAAGAAAAAATGGACTTTTTTCTCCTGCCATGGGGGGGCGCTCTTTTGGGGAGTAAAAATTCCTTCACAAATGTGTTGATGGCTGGACATTGCATCATCCTAGAAAACTTGGAGGCCAGTGAGGACAAAAATAAAAAGTTATAAGACTTTTAAATATGTGGATTTTAGGGTTGTCTTTGGCGCCCCCTAGAACCTAAACCGTGGGGTGCAGCGTCATGATTTGAATAACTTTTAATGGCCATGGGGTGTAGATTGGCCTGAGCAAATGAGGTGCCGGTGGACAGAAAGCCTTCGGAGGAGTTAGCGAAATTCCAATGTGTGCGGATCGGCAAAAAATGCGGAATAACCCTTTAACCGTACATTTGACAGATACGCGCGCATTGACTTTTTCGTAGATCTTATTGAGATACACGTGATTGTCAAATTTTGTGTCAATATGACAAAGCGTATAGGCGTGACACTCAACAATGTGTATTTTCACCTTAGGGGACAAGAAAAAATGGACTTTTTTCTCCTGCCATGGGGGGGCGCTCTTTTGGGGAGTAAAAATTCCTTCACAAATGTGTTGATGGCTGGACATTGCATCATCCTAGAAAACTTGGAGGCCAGTGAGGACAAAAATAAAAATTTTTGTCAAATATGTAAATAGCATGTTTTTGCAGGTGCTAAAAACCAGACTCTGAGTGTATGTGTGTGCGTGTGTGTGTGTCTGTGTGTGTGTGTGTGTGTGCGTTCAAGTCACATGACATATTTAACCGGATGTAGCTGCAAGACGGAGCCTCGTTGACTCTCCGTTTCAACTTATCTCAAAAGTGAGGACCTCAACCTATATACCAGTTTTTAAATTGTGTTGATAGGCCAAATAAAACCAGAGTTATGATAAATTATGTCCGCGATACTTTTTTTCTGCTTATTTTGATCACGTTCGGCGCTCGATCGCGCTGTATGAGACAGGAAAACATAGCATGCAGACATTAGCGACAGGTCTTACAGGCGGAAAAGGCTTGCCAAAAGAAAAAAAAACACACCACAACATCTCTCCTATTGGTGGAAAACTTCACCACAACAACCAATCCAAAATTATATGGTGACTGATTGACAAGGGGCGGGCGCTTACGTTCTTCCTGCAACATGAGAAGGGAGGGAGGGACTCTCAGCAGGGATGCAGTCTGGGACACGTAGTTGCAAACCTAGCGACTTTGTTGTTAGATTCAATGACTTTTCAGACCCCCTAACGACTTTTTTTTAGAAAGAAAGGGACTTTTATCGACTTCTTCTGGAGTTTAGAGACTCTGACATGAAGCAGGCTTTCCTTACTGAGGAGTTAGCAACGCTGCTAAGGGTGCAGAGCCACACATGCGCTCAGAGCTCTGCATGGGAGACTGAAGCTGACAGAGCTGCAGCAGTTAGCAGGTTTCACCCTCAGAGACCACCAGGGGTTCATGTTGAGGCATTTTAATTTTTTTTTTTTTTTTGTGCCATAGACACTGTCAGCACAATCTGCAGTTACACTAACAAAAATGCTGCAAAAAACAAAGAATTATGGAAAAATTACACATGGACTGACATAGAGGAGGATCTACACAAGTTTTTTACATCATGTTTTACATCATGCATCATTTACATCATGTTTTTTTGTAGTGGCATAAATAAAAAGTGACATTTGTGAGACTATACAGTGTTTTGTAAATAATTTTACAAAGAACGCCTGGGCCATTGCCTGCATTTTGATGTAAATAGAGGTAAATCACTATGTTCTTTGTTAAAAATTTGCATATGTTTTGAAGTTTACAATTTTTATTTGAAGTTTAAGTTTTAAAAACAGTTCATCACACATATTTGTGGTTTAATTTCACATTAATTTCCATATTGTATAAATGACTGGAAAAAACTTGAGCCCCTGCCCCTGTATAATCATGTGCACGTCCCTGTTGTAGCTCCAAGGTGAATCTTCACTGCTCATGTTCTCCTCAGAAATAGTCACCTCACTCCCCTCAGGTTACTGTACACATGCACCAACTATCTGCTTCAGGTTTGAAATGGAGCTTCATGGTTGTCTTTTGGAGAAATGAACAGTCAAGTTGTGTTTGAAATTTGATTTTTTTCAGGGGCAAAAGGAAGCCTCTGCATTCTTGTCAAATATGTAAACAGCATGTTTTTGCAGGTGCTAAAAAACAGACTCTGAGTGTGTGTGTGTGTCTGTGTGTGTGTGTGTGTGGGTGTGTGTGTGTGTGTGTATGTTGGCGTGTGTGTATATGTGTGTGTATCCTGCAGTACTCTGTACTCCTGCAGTGGCCAAAAAGACTTTTAAGAATGTGGATTTTTGGGTCATCTTTGGCGCCCCCTAGAACGTAAACCGTGGGGTGCAGCGTCATGATTTTTACAACTTTGAATGGGCATGGGGTGTAGATTGCCCTGAGCAAATTTGGTATCGGTGGGACGAAAGCCTTAGGAGGAGATAGCCACATTCCAATGTGTGCGAATCGGCAAAAAAATGCAAAATAGCCCTTTAACCGTACATTATACAGATACGCGCTCTTTGACTTTTTCGTAGATCTAATTGAGATACACATGATTGTCAATTTTTGTGTCAATATGACAAAGCGTTCAGGCGTGACACTCAACAATGTGTATTTTTATGTAAGGGGACAAGAAAAAATTGACTTTTTTCTCCTACCATGGGGGGCGCTCTTTTGGGGAGTAAAAATTCCTTCACAAATGTGTTGATGGCTGGACATTGCATCATCCTAGAAAACTTGGAGGCCAGTGAGGACAAAAATAAAAAGTTATAAAACATTTAAGAATGTGGATTTTTGGGTTATTTTTGGCGCCCCCTAGAACCTAAACCATGGGGTGCAGCATCATGATTTGAATAACTTTTAATGGCCATGGGGTGTAGATTGGCCTGAGCAAATGTGGTGCCGGTGGACAGAAAGCCTTCGGAGGAGTTAGCGAAATTCCAATGTGTGCGTATCGGCAAAAAATGCGGAATAACCCTTTAACTATACATTTGACAGATACGCGCGCATGGACTTTTTTGTAGATCTTATTGAGTTACATGTGTGTGTCAATTTTTGTGTCATTTTGACAAAGCGTATAGGCGTGACACTCAACAATGTGTATTTTCGCCTTAGGGGACAAGAAAAAATGGACTTTTTTCTCCTGCCATGGGGGGGCGCTCTTTTGGGGAGTAAAAATTCCTTCACAAATGTGTTGATGGCTGGACATTGCATCATCCTAGAAAACTTGGAGGCCAGTGAGGACAAAAATAAAAAGTTATAAGACTTTTAAATATGTGGATTTTAGTGTTATCTTTGGCGCCCCCTAGAACCTAAACCTTGGGGTGCAGCGTCATGATTTTGATAACTTTTAATGGCCACGGGGTGTAGATTGGCCTGAGCAAATGTGGTGCCGGTGGAACGAAAGCCTTCGGAGGAGTTAGCGAAATTCCAATGTGTGCGGATCGGAAAAAAATGCGAAATAACCCTTTAACCGTACATTTGACAGATACGGCCGCACTGACTTTTTCGTAGATCTTATTGAGATACATATGTGTGTCAATTTTTGTGTCAATATGACAAAGCGTACAGGCGTGACAGTCAATAGTGTGAATTTCCACCTTAGGGGGCGCTATGGAGCCATTTTGCATTTTATTGTTTGGGCGACTTCAGAATATCGAATTTTTCACCAGGCCCGGTCATCCTGCCAAATTTCATGAGTTTTCGCCAGTGGGAAGTGGGCCATTTTCCAGTTCAAAGGGGAGGAAAAAGAAGAAAGAAAGAAACAAAGACTAGGACCCCGTTGGGGCACTGTCGGGCCCGAGCCGTGTCGCGTCCCCCCCCCCCCCCCCAACGTGCTGCCTCCCCGTCCCATTTGTGTCCTCTGGCCATCGCCCTCTCTGGTAACGCCCATCACTGCAAAGACCCTTTTCCTTCATCGGCGTTTGCTGTTCTTCCTGCCAGTGCGTGTTGCTTTCACTTACACTTGCCACAGCCAGCCTCGTGAGTGCCTAGCCTATTGGATATCACTGTCACCTACACAGGACAGTCATTACCTTTCTATTAATACTTTGTGTTTTAATTTCACATTAATTTCCATATTGTATAAACGACTGGAAAAAACTTGAGCCCCTGCCCCTGTATAATCATGTGCATGTCTCTGTTCTAGCTCCAAGGTGAATCTTCACTGCTCATGTTCTCCTCAGAAGCACTCACCTCACTCCCCTCAGGTTACTGTACACATGCACCAACTGCCTGCTTCAGGTTTGGATGGAGCTTCATGGTTGTCTTTTGGAGAAATGACCAGTCAAGTTGTGTTTGAAATTTGATTTTTTTCAGGGGCAAAAGGAGCCTCTGCATTCTTGTAAAATATGTAAATAGCATGTTTTTGCAGGTGCTAAAAACCAGACTCTGAGTGTGTGTGTGTGTGTCTGTGTGTGTGTGTGTGTGTGTGTGTGCGTGTGTGTGTGTCTGTGTGTGCGTTCAAGTCACATGACATATTTAATCGGATGTAGCTGCAAGACGGAGCCTCGTTGACTCTCCGTTTCAACTTATCTCAAAAGTGAGGACCTCAACCTATATACCAGTTTTTAAATTGTGTTGATAGGCCAAATAAAACCAGAGTTATGATAAATTATGTCCGCGATACTTTTTTTCTGCTTATTTTGATCACGTTCGGCGCTCGATCGCGCTGTATGAGACAGGAAAACATAGCATGCAGACATTAGCAACAGCTCTTACAGGCGGAAAAGGCTTGCCAAAAGAAAAAAAAAACACACCACAACATCTCTCCTATTGGTGGAAAACTTCACCACAACAACCAATCCAAAATTATATGGTGACTGAATGACAAGGGGCGGGCGCTTACGTTCTTCCTGCAACATGAGAAGGGAGGGAGGGACTCTCAGCAGGGATGCAGTCTGGGACACGTAGTTGCAAACCTAGCGACTTTGTTGTTAGATTCAATGACTTTTCAGACCCCCTAACGACTTTTTTTTAGAAAGAAAGGGACTTTTATCGACTTCTTCTGGAGTTTAGAGACTCTGACATGAAGCAGGCTTTCCTTACTGAGGAGTTAGCAACGCTGCTAAGGGTGCAGAGCCACACATGCGCTCAGAGCTCTGCATGGGAGACTGAAGCTGACAGAGCTGCAGCAGTTAGCAGGTTTCACCCTCAGAGACCACCAGGGGTTCATGTTGAGGAATTTTAATTTTTTTCTTTTTTGTGCCATAGACACTGTCAGCACAATCTGCAGTTACACTAACAAAAATGCTGCAAAAAACAAAGAATTATGGAAAAATTACACATGGACTGACATAGAGGAGGATCTACACAAGTTTTTTACATCATGTTTTACATCATGCATCATTTACATCATGTTTTTTTGTAGTGGCATAAATAAAAAGTGACATTTGTGAGACTATACAGTGTTTTGTAAATAATTTTACAAAGAACGCCTGGGCCATTGCCTGCATTTTGATGTAAATAGAGGTAAATCACTATGTTCTTTGTTAAAAATTTGCATATGTTTTGAAGTTTACAATTTTTATTTGAAGTTTAAGTTTTAAAAACAGTTCATCACACCTATTTGTGGTTTTCACAGTAAAAATGTTACTTTTTTCCACTCGGATTTTATGTTTTGTGTGTGAATTTGGGTCCATTGTGTAAATTCAGTATGTCAACATGATAAAATAACTGTAAATTCGCACAGGTGAGGTTGTGCTGAAAAAAATGATACCAGGCAAGGCACGTGATTGTCAAATTTTGTGTCAATATGACAAAGCGTATAGGCGTGAATCTCAACAATATGTATTTTCACCTTAGGGGACAAGAAAAAATGGACTTTTTTCTCCTGCCATGGGGGGGCGCTCTTTTGGGGAGTAAAAATTCCTTCACAAATGTGTTGATGGCTGGACATTGCATCATCCTAGAAAACTTGGAGGCCAGTGAGGACAAAAATAAAAAGTTATAAGACTTTTAAATATGTGGATTTTAGGGTTGTCTTTGGCGCCCCCTAGAACCTAAACCGTGGGGTGCAGCGTCATGATTTGAATAACTTTTAATGGCCATGGGGTGTAGATTGGCCTGAGCAAATGAGGTGCCGGTGGACAGAAAGCCTTCGGAGGAGTTAGCGAAATTCCAATGTGTGCGGATCGGCAAAAAATGCGGAATAACCCTTTAACCGTACATTTGACAGATACGCGCGCATTGACTTTTTCGTAGATCTTATTGAGATACACGTGATTGTCAAATTTTGTGTCAATATGACAAAGCGTATAGGCGTGACACTCAACAATGTGTATTTTCACCTTAGGGGACAAGAAAAAATGGACTTTTTTCTCCTGCCATGGGGGGGCGCTCTTTTGGGGAGTAAAAATTCCTTCACAAATGTGTTGATGGCTGGACATTGCATCATCCTAGAAAACTTGGAGGCCAGTGAGGACAAAAATAAAAAGTTATAAGACTTTTAAAAATGTGGATTTTTGGGTTATCTTTGGCGCCCCCTAGAACGTAAACCGTGGGGTGCAGCGTCATGATTTGAATAACTTTTAATGGCCATGGGGTGTAATTTGGCCTGAGCAAATGTGGTGCCGGTGGAACGAAAGCCTTCGGAGGAGTTAGCGAAATTCCAATGTGTGCGGATCGGCAAAAAATGCGAAATAACCCTTTAACCGTACATTTGACAGATACGCCCGCACTGACTTTTTTGTAGATCTTATTGAGATACATGTGTGTGTCAATTTTTGTGTCATTTTGACAAAGCGTACAGGCGTGACAGTCAATAGTGTGAATTTTCACCTTAGGGGGCGCTATGGAGCCATTTTGCATTTTCTTGTTTGGGCGACTTCGGAATATCAAATTTTTCACCAGGCCCGGTCGTCCTGCCAAATTTCATGAGTTTTCGCCAGTGGGAAGTGGGCCATTTTCCAGTTCAAAGGGGAGGAAAAATAATAATAATAACAAAAGAAGGAAACTACAGGAACAAGAGGGCTCTCGCAGCTGCTTAGCAGCTACGCTCGGGCCCTAACTAGGACCCCGTTGGGGCACTGGCGGGCCCGAGCTGTGTCGCGTCCCCGGCCCAACGCGCTGCCTCCCCGTCCCATTTGTGTCCTCTGGCCATCGCCCTCTCTGGTAACGCCCATCACTGCAAAGACCCTTTTCCTTCATCGGCGTTTGCTGTTCTTCCTGCCAGTGCGCGTTGCTTTCACTTACACTTGCCACAGCCAGCCTCGTGAGTGCCTAGCCTATTGGATATCACTGTCACCTACACAGGACAGTCATTACCTTTCTATTAATACTTTGTGTTTTAATTTCACATTAATTTCCATATTGTATAAACGACTGGAAAAAACTTGAGCCCCTGCCCCTGTATAATCATGTGCATGTCTCTGTTCTAGCTCCAAGGTGAATCTTCACTGCTCATGTTCTCCTCAGAAGCACTCACCTCACTCCCCTCAGGTTACTGTACACATGCACCAACTGCCTGCTTCAGGTTTGGATGGAGCTTCATGGTTGTCTTTTGGAGAAATGACCAGTCAAGTTGTGTTTGAAATTTGATTTTTTTCAGGGGCAAAAGGAGCCTCTGCATTCTTGTCAAATATGTAAATAGCATGTTTTTGCAGGTGCTAAAAACCAGACTCTGAGTGTGTGTGTGTGTGTGTGTGTGTGTGTGTGTGTGTGTGTGCGTGTGTGTGTGTCTGTGTGTGCGTTCAAGTCACATGACATATTTAACCGGATGTAGCTGCAAGACGGAGCCTCGTTGACTCTCCGTTTCAACTTATCTCAAAAGTGAGGACCTCAACCTATATACCAGTTTTTAAATTGTGTTGATAGGCCAAATAAAACCAGAGTTATGATAAATTATGTCCGCGATACTTTTTTTCTGCTTATTTTGATCACGTTCGGCGCTCGATCGCGCTGTATGAGACAGGAAAACATAGCATGCAGACATTAGCGACAGGTCTTACAGGCGGAAAAGGCTTGCCAAAAGAAAAAAAAAACACACCACAACATCTCTCCTATTGGTGGAAAACTTTACCACAACAACCAATCCAAAATTATATGGTGACTGATTGACAAGGGGCGGGCGCTTACGTTCTTCCTGCAACATGAGAAGGGAGGGAGGGACTCTCAGCAGGGATGCAGTCTGGGACACGTAGTTGCAAACCTAGCGACTTTGTTGTTAGATTCAATGACTTTTCAGACCCCCTAACGACTTTTTTTAGAAAGAAAGGGACTTTTATCGACTTCTTCTGGAGTTTAGAGACTCTGACATGAAGCAGGCTTTCCTTACTGAGGAGTTAGCAACGCTGCTAAGGGTGCAGAGCCACACATGCGCTCAGAGCTCTGCATGGGAGACTGAAGCTGACAGAGCTGCAGCAGTTAGCAGGTTTCACCCTCAGAGACCACCAGGGGTTCATGTTGAGGCATTTTAATTTTTTTTTTTTTTTGTGCCATAGACACTGTCAGCACAATCTGCAGTTACACTAACAAAAATGCTGCAAAAAACAAAGAATTATGGAAAAATTACACATGGACTGACATAGAGGAGGATCTACACAAGTTTTTTACATCATGTTTTACATCATGCATCATTTACATCATGTTTTTTTTTGTAGTGGCATAAATAAAAAGTGACATTTGTGAGACTATACAGTGTTTTGTAAATAATTTTACAAAGAACGCCTGGGCCATTGCCTGCATTTTGATGTAAATAGAGGTAAATCAATATGTTCTTTGTTAAAAATTTGCATATGTTTTGAAGTTTACAATTTTTATTTGAAGTTTAAGTTTTAAAAACAGTTCATCACACATATTTGTGGTTTTCACAGTAAAAATGTTACTTTTTTCCACTCGGATTTTATGTTTTGTGTGTGAATTTGGGTCCATTGTGTAAATTCAGTATGTCAACATGATAAAATAACTGTAAATTCGCACAGGTGAGGTTGTGCTGAAAAAAAATGATACCAGGCAAGGCACGTGATTGTCAAATTTTGTGTCAATATGACAAAGCGTATGGGCGTGAATCTCAACAATATGTATTTTCACCTTAGGGGACAAGAAAAAATGGACTTTTTTCTCCTGCCATGGGGGGGCGCTCTTTTGGGGAGTAAAAATTCCTTCACAAATGTGTTGATGGCTGGACATTGCATCATCCTAGAAAACTTGGAGGCCAGTGAGGACAAAAATAAAAAGTTATAAGACTTTTAAATATGTGGATTTTAGGGTTGTCTTTGGCGCCCCCTAGAACCTAAACCGTGGGGTGCAGCGTCATGATTTGAATAACTTTTAATGGCCATGGGGTGTAGATTGGCCTGAGCAAATGTGGTGCCGGTGGACAGAAAGCCTTCGGAGGAGTTAGCGAAATTCCAATGTGTGCGGATCGGCAAAAAATGCGGAATAACCCTTTAACCGTACATTTGACAGATACGCGCGCATTGACTTTTTCGTAGATCGTATTGAGTTACATGTGTGTGTCAACTTTTTGTGTCATTTTGACAAAGCGTATAGGCGTGACACTCAACAATGTGTATTTTCACCTTAGGGGACAAGAAAAAATGGACTTTTTTCTCCTGCCATGGGGGGGGCGCTCTTTTGGGGAGTAAAAATTCCTTCACAAATGTGTTGATGGCTGGACATTGCATCATCCTAGAAAACTTGGAGGCCAGTGAGGACAAAAATAAGAAGTTATAAGACTTTTAAATATGTGGATTTTAGTGTTATCTTTGGCGCCCCCTAGAACCTAAACCTTGGGGTGCAGCGTCATGATTTTGATAACTTTTAAAGGCCACGGGGTGTAGATTGGCCTGAGCAAATGTGGTGCCGGTGGAAAGAAAGCCTTCGGAGGAGTTAGCGAAATTCCAATGTGTGCGGATCGGAAAAAAATGCGAAATAACCCTTTAACCGTACATTTGACAGATACGGCCGCACTGACTTTTTTGTAGATCTTATTGAGATACATATGTGTGTCAATTTTTGTGTCAATATGACAAAGCGTACAGGCGTGACAGTCAATAGTGTGAATTTCCACCTTAGGGGGCGCTATGGAGCCATTTTGCATTTTATTGTTTGGGCGACTTCAGAATATCGAATTTTTCACCAGGCCCGGTCGTCCTGCCAAATTTCATGAGTTTTCGCCAGTGGGAAGTGGGCCATTTTCCAGTTCAAAGGGGAGGAAAAAGAAAAAAGAAAGAAAGAAACAAAGAAAAACCACTTGGGGAATAATAGGGCCTACGCCCGGCTGCTCTGCAGCTGGCTCGGGCCCTAAAGAAAGAAAGAAAGAAAGAAACAAAGAAAAACCACTTGGGGAATAATAGGGCTCTCGCAGCTGCTTAGCAGCTACGCTCGGGCCCTAACTAGGACCCCGTTGGGGCACTGGCGGGCCCGAGCTGTGTCGCGTCCCCCCCCCAACGCGCTGCCTCCCCGTCCCATTTGTGTCCTCTGGCCATCGCCCTCTCTGGTAACGCCCATCACTGCAAAGACCCTTTTCCTTCATCGGCGTTTGCTGTTCTTCCTGCCAGTGCGTGTTGCTTTCACTTACACTTGCCACAGCCAGCCTCGTGAGTGCCTAGCCTATTGGATATCACTGTCACCTACACAGGACAGTCATTACCTTTCTATTAATACTTTGTTTTTTAATTTCACATTAATTTCCATATTGTATAAACAACTGGAAAAAACTTGAGCCCCTGCCCCTGTATAATCATGTGCACGTCTCTGTTCTAGCTCTAAGGTGAATCTTCACTGCTCATGTTCTCCTCAGAAGCAGTCACCTCACTCCCCTCAGGTTACTGTACACATGCACCAACTGCCTGCTTCAGGTTTGGATGGAGCTTCATGGTTGTCTTTTGGAGAAATGACCAGTCAAGTTGTGTTTGAAATTTGATTTTTTTCAGGGGCAATAGGAGCCTCTGCATTCTTGTCAAATATGTAAATAGCATGTTTTTGCAGGTGCTAAAAACCAGACTCTGAGTGTGTGTGTGTGCGTGTGTGTGTGTGTCTGTGTGTGTGTGTGTGTGTGCGTTCAAGTCACATGACATATTTAACCGGATGTAGCTGCAAGACGGAGCCTCGTTTACTCTCCGTTTCAACTTATCTCAAAAGTGAGGACCTCAACCTATATACCAGTTTTTAAATTGTGTTGATAGGCCAAATAAAACCAGAGTTATGATAAATTATGTCCGCGATACTTGTTTTCTGCTTATTTTGATCACGTTCGGCGCTCGATCGCGCTGTATGAGACAGGAAAACATAGCATGCAGACATTAGCGACAGGTCTTACAGGCGGAAAAGGCTTGCCAAAGGAAAAAAAAAACACACCACAACATCTCTCCTATTGGTGGAAAACTTCACCACAACAACCAATCCAAAATTATATGGTGACTGATTGACAAGGGGCGGGCGCTTACGTTCTTCCTGCAATATGAGAAGGGAGGGAGGGACTCTCAGCAGGGATGCAGTCTGGGACACGTAGTTGCAAACCTAGCGACTTTGTTGTTAGATTCAATGACTTTTCAGACCCCCTAACGACTTTTTTTTAGAAAGAAAGGGACTTTTATCGACTTCTTCTGGAGTTTAGAGACTCTGACATGAAGCAGGCTTTCCTTACTGAGGAGTTAGCAACGCTGCTAAGGGTGCAGAGCCACACATGCGCTCCGAGCTCTGCATGGGAGACTGAAGCTGACAGAGCTGCAGCAGTTAGCAGGTTTCACCCTCAGAGACCACCAGGGGTTCATGTTGAGGCATTTTCAGTTTTTTTTTTTTTTTTTGCCATAGACACTGTCAGCACAATCTGCAGTTACACTAACAAAAATGCTGCAAAAAACAAAGAATTATGGAAAAATTACACATGGACTAACATAGAGGAGGATCTACACAAGTTTTTTACATCATGTTTTACATCATGCATCATTTACATCATGTTTTTTTGTAGTGGCATAAATAAAAAGTGACATTTGTGAGACTATACAGTGTTTTGTAAATAATTTTACAAAGAACACCTGGGCCATTGCCTGCATTTTGATGTAAATAGAGGTAAATTACTATGTTCTTTGTTAAAAATTTGCATATGTTTTGAAGTTTACAATTTTTATTTGAAGTTTAAGTTTTAAAAACAGTTCATCACACATATTTGTGGTTTTCACAGTAAAAACGTTACTTTTTTCCACTCGGATTTTATGTTTTGTGTGTGAATTTGGGTCCAATGTGTAAATATAGTATGTCAAAATGATAAAATAACTGTAAATTGACACAGGTGAGGTTGTGCTGAAAAAAATGATACCAGGCAAGGCAAGGTAAAAATTTTGTAAGAGGAAATATAAAGGCAAAATCTAAAGTAGTCAAAAACGGCCAATAGTGACTCACAGACTCCACAGACAAGTCCCTTTGGCGCCACTCAGTGGGCAAAACTACTTTGTCTACTGTAATGTATATTTGGGTCATCTTTGGCGCCCCCTAAAACGTAAACCGTGGGGTGCAGCGTCATGATTTTTACAACTTTGAATGGCCATGGAGTGTAGATTGGCCTGAGCAAATTTGGTGTCAGTGGGACGAAAGCCTTAGGAGGAGTTAGCGAAATTCCAATGTGTGCGAATCGGCAAAAAATGCAAAATAGTCCTTTTACCGTACATTATACAGATACGCGCTCTTTGACTTTTTCGTAGATCTAATTGAGATACACATGATTGTCAATTTTTGTGTCATTTTGCCAAAGCGTACAGGCGTGACAGTCAACAATGTGTATTTTCACCTTAGGGGACAAGAAAAAATGGACTTTTTTCTCCTGCCATGGGGGGGCGCTCTTTTAGGGAGTAAAAATTCCTTCACAAATGTGTTGATGGCTGGACATTGCATCATCCTAGAAAACTTGGAGGCCAGTGAGGACAAAAATAAAAAGTTATAAGACTTTTAAAAATGTGGATTTTTGGGTTATCTTTGGCGCCCCCTAGAACCTAAACCGTGGGGTGCAGCGTCATGATTTGAATAACTTTTAATGGCCATGGGGTGTAATTTGGCCTGAGCAAATGTGGTGCCGGTGGAACGAAAGCCTTCGGAGGAGTTAGCGAAATTCCAATGTGTGCGAATCGGCAAAAAATGCGGAATAACCCTTTAACCGTACATTTGACAGATACGCGCTCATAGACTTTTTTGTAGATCTTATTGAGATACATGTGTGTGTCAATTTTTGTGTCATTTTGACAAAGCGTACAGGCGTGACACTCAACAATGTGTATTTTCACCTTAGGGGACAAGAAAAAATGGACTTTTTTCTCCTGCCATGGGGGGGCGCTCTTTTGGGGAGTAAAAATTCCTTCACAAATGTGTTGATGGCTGGACATTGCATCATCCTAGAAAACTTGGAGGCCAGTGAGGGCAAAAATAAAAAGTTATAAGACTTTTAAATATGTGGATTTTAGGGTTATCTTTGGCGCCCCCTAGAACCTAAACCTTGGGGTGCAGCGTCATGATTTTGATAACTTTTAATGGCCACGGGGTGTAGATTGGCCTGAGCAAATGTGGTGCCGGTGGAACGAAAGCCTTCGGAGGAGATAGCCACATTCCAATGTGTGCGAATCGGCAAAAAATGCGGAATAACCCTTTAACCGTACATTTGACAGATACGCGCTCATAGACTTTTTTGTAGATCTTATTGAGATACATGTGTGTGTCAATTTTTGTGTCATTTTGACAAAGCGTACAGGCGTGACACTCAACAATGTGTATTTTCACCTTAGGGGACAAGAAAAAATGGACTTTTTTCTCCTGCCATGGGGGGGCGCTCTTTTGGGGAGTAAAAATTCCTTCACAAATGTGTTGATGGCTGGACATTGCATCATCCTAGAAAACTTGGAGGCCAGTGAGGGCAAAAATAAAAAGTTATAAGACTTTTAAATATGTGGATTTTAGGGTTATCTTTGGCGCCCCCTAGAACCTAAACCTTGGGGTGCAGCGTCATGATTTTGATAACTTTTAATGGCCACGGGGTGTAGATTGGCCTGAGCAAATGTGGTGCCGGTGGAACGAAAGCCTTCGGAGGAGTTAGCGAAATTCCAATGTGTGCGGATTGGAAAAAAATGCGAAATAACCCTTTAACCGTACATTTGACAGATACGGCCGCACTGACTTTTTTGTAGATCTTATTGAGATACATATGTGTGTCAATTTTTGTGTCAATATGACAAAGCGTACAGGCGTGACAGTCAATAGTGTGAATTTCCACCTTAGGGGGCGCTATGGAGCCATTTTGCATTTTATTGTTTGGGCGACTTCAGAATATCGAATATTTCACCAGGCCCGGTCGTCCTGCCAAATTTCATGAGTTTTCGCCAGTGGGAAGTGGGCCATTTTCCAGTTCAAAGGGGAGGAAAAAGAAGAAAGAAAGAAAGAAAGAAAGAAAGAAAGAAAGAAACAAAGAAAAACCACTTGGGGAATAATAGGGCTCTCGCAGCTGCTTAGCAGCTACGCTCGGGCCCTAACTAGGGCCCCGTTGGGGCACTGGCGGGCCCGAGCCGTGTCACGCCGCCCCCAGCGCGACCGCCTCCCCCACCCGATCGCGTCACACTCAAGGTCCAAAGATGGTGTGCGCACTTGTTTGTGGTCATTTACCATTATAATGAACGGGAGGCGCAGTTTCTAACAAAACGCTCGCTGCAGAAAAACTCCATGTCCTATTTGAAAAAAGTCTGGACCATGAGTGAGGGCACAAACACAGCTAAGATATATCCAAATGGCAAGTTGCTCCTCCTTTCGCTTTTGCCGAGAGAGCAGTGCGTTTGAGCCATTGAATGATGAACAGGAAAAACTTGACTTTATTCTCCTGCCATGGGGGGCGCTCTTTTAACGAGAAAAAACTCCTTCACAAATGTGTTGATGGCTGGACATTGCATCATCCTAGAAAACATGGAGGCCAGTGAGGACAAAAATAAAAAGTTATAAGACTTTTAAATATGTGGATTTTACGGTTATCTTTGGCGCCCCCTAGAACCTAAACCGTGGGGTGCAGCGTCATGATTTGAATAACTTTTAATGGCCATGGGGTGTAGATTGGCCTGAGCAAATGTGGTGCCGGTGGAACGAAAGCCTTCGGAGGAGTTAGCGAAATTCCAATGTGTGCGAATCTGCAAAAAATGCGAAATAACCCTTTAACCGTACATTTGACAGATACGTGGCCATTGACTTTTTCGAAGATCTTATTGAAATACACGTGTGTGTAAAATTTTGTGTCAATACGACAAAACATACAGGCGTAGCACTCAACAATGTGTATTTTCACCTTAGTGGACAAGAAAAAATGGACTTTTTTCTCCTGCCATGGGGGGGCGCTCTTTTGGCGAGTAAAAATTCCTTCACAAATGTGTTGATGGCTGGACATTGCATCATCCTAGAAAACTTGGAGGCCAGTGGGGACAAAAATAAAAAGTTATAAGACTTTTAAATATGTGGATTTTACGGTTATCTTTGGCGCCCCCTAGAACCTAAACCGTGGGGTGCAGCGTCATGATTTGAATAACTTTTAATGGCCATGGGGTGTAGATTGGCCTGAGCAAATGTGGTGCCGGTGGAACGAAAGCCTTCGGAGGAGTTAGCGAAATTCCAATGTGTGCGGATCGGCAAAAAATGCGGAATAACCCTTTAACTGTACATTTGACAGATACGCGCGCATTGACTTTTTCGTAGATCTTATTGAGATACATGTGTGTGTCAATTTTTGTGTCATTTTGCCAAAGCGTACAGGTGTTACACTCAACAATGTGTATTTTCACCTTAGGGGACAAGAAAAAATGGACTTTTTTCTCCTGCCATGGGGGGCGCTCTTTTGGGGAGTAAAAATTTCTTCACAAATGTGTTGATGGCTGGACATTGCATCATCCTAGAAAACTTGGAGGCCAGTGAGGGCAAAAATAAAAAGTTATAAGACTTTTAAATATGTGGATCTTAGGGTTATCTTTGGCGCCCCCTAGAACCTAAACCGTGGGGTGCAGCGTCATGATTTGAATAACTTTTAATGGCCATGGGGTGTAGATTGGCCTGAGCAAATGTGGTGCCGGTGGAACGAAAGCCTTCGGAGGAGTTAGCGAAATTCCAATGTGTGCGGATCGGCAAAAAATGCGAAATAACCCTTTAACCGTACATTTGACAGATACGCCCGCACTGACTTTTTTGTAGATCTTATTGAGATACATGTGTGTGTCAATTTTTGTGTCATTTTGACAAAGCGTACAGGCGTGACAGTCAATAGTGTGAATTTTCACCTTAGGGGGCGCTATGGAGCCATTTTGCATTTTCTTGTTTGGGCGACTTCGGAATATCAAATTTTTCACCAGGCCCGGTCGTCCTGCCAAATTTCATGAGTTTTCGCCAGTGGGAAGTGGGCCATTTTCCAGTTCAAAGGGGAGGAAAAATAATAATAATAACTAGGGCCCCGGTGGGGCACTGTCGGGCCCGAGCCGCGTCGCGCCGCCCCTAGCGCGACCGCCTCCCCCTCCCGATCGCGTCACACTCAAGGTCCAAAGATGGTGTGCGCACTTGTCTGTGGTCATTTCCCATTATAATGAATGGGAGGCGCAGTTTCTACCAAAACACTCGCTGCAGACAAACTTCATGTCCTATTTGAAAAAAGTCTGGACCATGAGTGAGGGCACAAACACAGCTATGATATATCGAAATGGCAGGTTGCTCCTCCTTACGGTGTTGCCTGGAGAGCGATGCGATTGAGCCATTGAGCGATGGGCAGGGTTAACTTGACTTTTTCTCCTGCCTTGGGGGGGATGTGGATTCCTTTAAGAATGTGGATTTTTGGGTCATCTTTGGCGCCCCCTAGAACGTAAACCGTGGGGTGCAGCGTCATGATTTTTACAACTTTGAATGGCCATGGGGTGTAGATTGGCCTGAGCAAATTTGGTGTCAGTGGGACGAAAGCCTTAGGAGGAGTTAGCCACATTCCAATGTGTGCGAATCGGCAAAAAATGCAAAATAGCCCTTTAACCGTACATTTGACAGATACGCGCGCATTGACTTTTTTGTAGATCTTATTGAGATACATATGTGTGTCAATTTTTGTGTCAATATGATAAAGCGTACAGGCGTGACAGTCAACAATGTGAATTTCCACCTTAGGGGACAAGAAAAAATTGACTTTTTTCTCCTGCCATGGGGGGGTGCGCTCTTTTGGGGAGTAAAAATTCCTTCACAAATGTGTTGATGGCTGGACATTGCATCATCCTAGAAAACTTGGAGGCCAGTGAGGACAAAAATAAAAAGTTATAAGACTTTTAAATATGTGGATTTTAGGGTTATCTTTGGCGCCCCCTAGAACCTAAACCGTGGGGTGCAGCGTCATGATTTGAATAACTTTTAATGGCCATGGGGTGTAGATTGGCCTGAGCAAATGTGGTGCCGGTGGAACGAAAGCCTTCGGAGGAGTTAGCGAAATTCCAATGTATGCGGATCGGCAAAAAATGCGGAATAACCCTTTCACCGTACATTTGACAGATACGCGCGCATTGACTTTTTCGTAGATCTTATTGAGATACATGTGTGTGTCAATTTTTGTGTCATTTTGCCAAAGCGTACAGGTGTTACACTCAACAATGTGTATTTTCACCTTAGGGGACAAGAAAAAATGGACTTTTTTCTCCTGCCATGGGGGGGCGCTCTTTTGGGGAGTAAAAATTCCTTCACAAATGTGTTGATGGCTGGACATTGCATCATCCTAGAAAACTTGGAGGCCAGTGAGGGCAAAAATAAAAAGTTATAAGACTTTTAAATATGTGGATCTTAGGGTTATCTTTGGCGCCCCCTAGAACCTAAACCGTGGGGTGCAGCGTCATGATTTGAATAACTTTTAATGGCCATGGGGTGTAGATTGGCCTGAGCAAATGTGGTGCCGGTGGAACGAAAGCCTTAGGAGGAGTTAGCGAAATTCCAATGTGTGCGGATCGGCAAAAAATGCGAAATAACCCTTTAACCGTACATTTGACAGATACGCCCGCACTGACTTTTTTGTAGATCTTATTGAGATACATGTGTGTGTCAATTTTTGTGTCATTTTGACAAAGCGTACAGGCGTGACAGTCAATAGTGTGAATTTCCACCTTAGGGGGCGCTATGGAGCCATTTTGCATTTTATTGTTTGGGCGACTTCAGAATATCGAATTTTTCACCAGGCCCGGTCGTCCTGCCAAATTTCATGAGTTTTCGCCAGTGGGAAGTGGGCCATTTTCCAGTTCAAAGGGGAGGAAAAAGAAGAAAGAAAGAAAGAACTAGGGCCCCGTTGGGGCACTGGCGGGCCCGAGCTGTGTCGCGCCCCCCCCCCCCCCCCCCAACGCGCTGCCTCCCCGTCCCATTCTTGGCCTCTGGCCATCGCCCTCTCTGGTAACGCCCATCACTGCAAAGACCCTTTTCCTTCATCGGCGTTTGCTGTTCTTCCTGCCAGTGTGTGTTGCTTTCACTTACACTTGCCACAGCCAGCCTCGTGAGTGCCTAGCCTATTGGATATCACTGTCACCTACACAGGACAGTCATTACCTTTCTATTAATACTTTGTTTTTTAATTTCACATTAATTTCCATATTGTATAAACGACTGGAAAAAACTTGAGCCCCTGCCCCTGTATAATCATGTGCACGTCTCTGTTCTAGCTCCAAGGTGAATCTTCACTGCTCATGTTCTCCTCAGAAGCAGTCACCTCACTCCCCTCAGGGTACTGTACACATGCACCAACTGCCTGCTTCAGGTTTGGATGGAGCTTCATGGTTGTCCGTGGGGTGCAGCGTCATGATTTGTACAACTTTGAATGGCCATAGGGTGTAGATTGGCCTGAGCAAATTTGGTGTCAGTGGGACAAAAGGCCAGTGAGGACAAAAATAAAAAGTTATAAGACTTCAAAAAATGTGGATATTTGGGTCATCTTTGGCGCCCCCTAGAACGTAAACTGTGGGGTGTAGCGTCATGATTTGAATAACTTTTAATGGCCATGGGGTGTAGATTGGCCTGAGCAAATGTGGTGCCGGTGGAACGAAAGCCTTAGGAGGAGTTAGCCACATTCCAATGTGTGCGGATCAGCAAAAAATGCGGAATAACCCTTTAACCGTACATTTGACAGATACGCGCGCATTGACTTTTTCGTAGATCTTATTGAGATACATGTGTGTGTCAATTTTTGTGTCATTTTGACAAAGCGTACAGGCGTGACACTCAACAATGCGTATTTTCACCTTAGGGGACAAGAAAAAATGGACTTTTTTCTCCTGCCATGGGGGGGCGCTCTTTTGGGGAGTAAAAATTCCTTCACAAATGTGTTGATGGCTGGACATTGCATCGTCCAAGAAAACTTGGAGGCCAGTGAGGACAAAAATAAAAAGTTATAAGACTTTTAGGAATGTGGATATTTGGGTGATCTTTGGCGCCCCCTAGAACGTAAACCGTGGGGTGCAGCATCATGATTTGTACAACTTTTAATGGCCATGGGGTGTAGATTGGCCTGAGCAAATTTGGTGTCGGTGGAACGAAAGCCTTCGGAGGAGTTAGTGAAATTCCAATGTGTGCGGATCGGCAAAAAATGCAAAATAGCCCTTTTACCGTACATTATACAGATACGCGCTCTTTGACTTTTTCGTAGATCTTATTGAGATACACGTGATTGTCAAATTTTGTGTCAATATGACAAAGCGTTTAGGCGTGACACTCAACAATGTGTATTTTCACCTTAGGGGACAAGAAAAAATCGACTTTTTTCTACTGCCATGGGGGGGCGCTCTTTTGGGGAGTAAAAATTCCTTCACAAATGTGTTGATGGCTGGACATTGCATCATCCTAGAAAACTTGGAGGCCAGTGAGGACAAAAATAAAAAGTTATAAGACTTTTAAGAATGTGGCTTTTTGGGTTATCTTTGGCGCCCCCTAGAACCTAAACCGTGGGGTGCAGCGTCATGATTTGTACAACATTTAATGGCCATGGGGTGTAGATTGGCCTGAGCAAATTTGGTGCCGGTGGAACGAAAGCCTTCGGAGGAGTTAGCGAAATTCCAATGTGTGCGGATCGGCAAAAAATGCGAAATAGCCCTTTAATGGTACATTTGACAGATACGCCCGCACTGACTTTTTTGTAGATCTTATTGAGATACACATGTGTGTCAAATTTTGTGTCATTTTGACAAAGCGTACAGGCGTCAGGTGAATTTTCACCATAGGGGGCGCTATGGAGCCATTTTTCATTTTTTTGTTTGGGCGACTTCAGAATATCGAATTTTTCACCAGGCCCGGTCGTCCTGCCAAATTTCCTGAGTTTTCGCCAGTGGGAAGTGGGCCATTTTCCAGTTTAAAGCGGAGGAAAAATAACGAAAGAAGAATCCATCAGGAACAAGAGGGCTCTCGCAGCTGCTTAGCAGCTACGCTCGGGCCCTAAAGAAAGAAAGAAAGAAAGAAACAAAGAAAAACCACTTGGGGAATAATAGGGCTCTCGCAGCTGCTTAGCAGCTACGCTCGGGCCCTAACAAAAGAAGGAAACTACAGGAACAAGAGGGCTCTCGCAGCTGCTTAGCAGCTACGCTCGGGCCCTAAAAACCACTTGGGGAATAATAGGGCCTACGCCCGGCTGCTCTGCAGCTGGCTCGGGCCCTAACTAGGACCCCGTTGGGGCACTGGTGGGCCCGCGCCGTGTCGCCCCCCCCCCCCCCCCCCAACGTGCTGCCTCCCCGTCCCATTTGTGTCCTCTGGCCATCGCCCTCTCTGGTAACGCCCATCACTGCAAAGACCCTTTTCCTTCATCGGCGTTTGCTGTTCTTCCTGCCAGTGCGTGTTGCTTTCACTTACACTTGCCACAGCCAGCCTCGTGAGTGCCTAGCCTATTCGATATCACTGTCACCTACACAGGACAGTCATTACCTTTCTATTAATACTTTGTTTTTTAATTTCACATTAATTTCCATATTGTATAAACGACTGGAAAAAACTTGAGCCCCTGCCCCTGTATAATCATGTGCATGTCTCTGTTCTAGCTCCAAGGTGAATCTTCACTGCTCATGTTCTCCTCAGAAGCAGTCACCTCACTCCCCTCAGGTTACTGTACACATGCACCAACTGCCTGCTTCAGGTTTGGATGGAGCTTCATGGTTGTCTTTTGGAGAAATGACCAGTCAAGTTGTGTTTGAAATTTGATTTTTTTCAGGGGCAAAAGGAGCCTCTGCATTCTTGTCAAATATGTAAATAGCATGTTTTTGCAGGTGCTAAAAACCAGACTCTGAGTGTGTGTGTGTGTGTGTGTGTGTGTGTGTGTGTGTGTGTGTGTGTGTGTGTGTGTGTGCGTGTGTGTGTGTCTGTGTGTGCGTTCAAGTCACATGACATATTTAACCGGATGTAGCTGCAAGACGGAGCCTCGTTGACTCTCCGTTTCAACTTATCTCAAAAGTGAGGACCTCAACCTATATACCAGTTTTTAAATTGTGTTGATAGGCCAAATAAAACCAGAGTTATG